GCCTGGCTGGTGTAGCTCAGTGGATTGAGCACAGGCCTGCAAACCTAGAGATCTCGGTTCGATTCCCAGTCAGGGCACATGCCTGGGTTGCAGGCCAATTCCCAGCAGGGAATGCATGAGAGGCAACCATACATTGATATTTCTCTCTCTCTCTCCTTTCCTTCCCTCCTGCTTCTGAATAAATAAAATCTTTAAAAAAAAAAAGAAAGCAAACACTGATTGTTAATTTTAAATGACTTGACTAGGACTCCCACTGCAGGCTGCTGGTCATGGAAGTACCCCACCCCATAAATGGCCCAGACGCGGCCCTCCCCCTCCGAGTCAGCCTACGGCACCCCCACCTTTACTTCTTCACAGTAGCCTAGGACCAGCGGCCCACGGTCTGCCAGCGCCAACCCCAAATCCTCATGCCCAACTGATTTATAGTCCAAGAAACTGTATTTTTAACCAATTAGAGCCTACCGCTTTATATACCTCATGAAACTGAATGGAACAGCTAACCTCAGACGAGACGACCCTGGAGCAACAAAGACCCTAAACTGCTGCCCCGGGGAGCAATCGCTGCTGAGCGACATTGCCTAGATGCTCCGGCCCCTCAGATTTCCCACTCCCCCGAGGGTCCCCTTGTCTTATTCCCCTGATGGGGAGTAATCCATGCACCCATCTCTGGAACTAGTTTTCCCTTCTTTCTGTCTGTTTTAGTGTGTTCTGAGCCAATGTTGCTGGATGGAACTTCCTCTCTCATGCAATCCTGTCCACATACCACCCAAATAAAGTTCCAGGAGAGGAACTGTTGATGCCACACTTTAAAGAGCATGGGGGATGGGCTATATTGCAGGGCTGTCCTTGGCAAACACACTCGGTCACAAAGATCAATACACAAAAATTAACTGCATTTCTATTCAGTAGCAGTAATTAGAAAATGGCGTGTTAAATAGATACAATTACTAGAATCAACAAACATGAAACACCTAGCAATAAAGCTACTGAGACATGAGACCTCCACACAGAAACGACACAGCAACACAGAGGCACCAGGCCTGGTGGGGGCAGGAAGGCTCTGCAGCTGCAGGGGCAGCGTGGTGAAGTCAGGTTGGTGACTGTACGAGAGCACTTACCCGGGCTTTTGTGTGTTAATTGTTGGATCAGTCTTTTTGATCACTAAAGTTTCCCTGGTCTGCCATTAGAACATTTATCTAATAAAAGCTTCATATCCAGAATATATAGAAATGTCTCTGATATCATGGGCCAACCAATAAAAGGGGGCCCAAAGATGTAAGTGAAAAAGAGGATATACAAATGACTGACAAATATGAAATGAGTTCAAGCTCATTACTAATCAGGAAAACACAAAATTAAACCAAATGATTTACTGTGGATGGCTAAAAATGCACAACTAAAAATAAAAATATTAAAAAACACAATACCAAGTATTGGCTAGGACTGGGAAAACAGATTCTTGTGCATTTATGAAAGGAGTGTAAAATGGTACTTTGGGGAACAATTTGGTGGTACATAACAAAGCTGAACATGTTCCCTCCAAAAATGCATACATGTGCGCACTGAAAGACATGCATTAGAATGTTTATATGGACTAGTTGCAAGAGCTCCGAACAGAAAACCCAATGCCTATCACTGGTAAGATGAGCCAAGTACAACCTACTCCTATAATTAAATATGATACAGCAACAAAGGGGAAGGAACTACTGCCACATCCACCATGGATCAATCTCAATGAACTCAGGAAAATCCACACACAAAAGGGTGTCGAACACATACAAAGTTCAAAAACAGGCAAATTAATTTATGTGACAGAATGGCTTTTAGGGGCTAGTAACTGGAAGATGATATAAAGGTGGCCTTCCAGGTGTAACTGTGTTTGATTTCTTGATTCGAGGGGTGGTAATGAGCATGCACACTTTATAAAAATGTACTGAGCTAAGTGAAATAAGCCATCAGAGAAAGACAAACATCGTATGACCTCGCTTATAAGTGGAACCTAATGAACAAAAGAACTAATGAGCAACACAGAACCAGAGGCCTGGAACCATGGAGCAGACTGACCGCTGTGGGAGGGGAGGGGGGAGGCAGCGGTGGAAAGAAGGGGAGGGGATCAAACACGTATGTGAAGGACTCACAGACACGGACAACAGTGTGGGGACTGAGTATGGAATTGAGAGGGCTCGACGGGTGGAGGGGGGTGAAGAGGGAAAAACCAAGACAACTCTAACAGCATAAACAATAAAACATTTTTAAAAATGTTATTGAGTTTAAGGTTCATGGACTTTTCTGCATATGTATTATAGTACAATAAAGTGCTTGCAAAATTTTTAAAATTATATAACTATAAGTGGAGGATGAGGCAGAAATACAGGCAGTAGAAATGTCTAAACTGATAAACCAAGAAATAGCTATAGAGCATAGTGTTTAAAAATAAAAAAGTAACTACCACAAAATATTTAAGTTAGAAATTGTTGCCCCCAGGGGTTGGAGAGGGGCCTGTTATTCAGCAATTGGGGGCACTAGATTTCTTTTTAATCCTCACCTGAGAATATATTGATTGATTGATTTCTGAGAGGGAGAAACATTGATTGGTTGCCTCCCACACATACCCCAACCAGGATCACACCTGCAACCAACGTATGTGCCCTGAGTGGGAATTGAACCCACAACCCTTTGCTGTGTGGGATGACACTCCAACCACTGAGCAACCCAGCCAGGGCAGTACTAGATATTTTTTAAGTGGCATGCGTATGACACATATACAGGTCAAAACATTTCAATTCTTCACAAAGGAAAAAGTACTGATGTAGGTAGAAATGCAAATGGTTTCCTACAACTAATGATGCTAAATAAAGTCTGTCTGATAGAAGAAAAATTCACTCTTGCTTTTAGGAAAATTATAAACATCAAGTTTTAAAAGTTAAAAAATTATAAAAGGAAATGATAGGTGATATAATGTCACCACAGTTTTAAGCCAAATGCTAATCATTAAGAAAGGGGGAAAGAGGTGAAGGAGGGCAGAATATGCCAGCCCAAGATATGCCACTTTGGCACAAGGACTCCTTTGAACTAAAGGCACCTGAGGACAGCAGCAGGTGAAGGGAGAGAGCCCTGACTCTCCTCTTTCCTCTGAGCACAGGGGATAAACCCCCCACAGAAGACGTCCTCTCTGTACCAGAAGGAAAGCAACGTTCCTCCCAGCAAGGGCAGGATGCTGAATCTGAGAATTCCGTGCAAAGCTTATTAAAAGAATTCTTACCTTCCTTTAGCCTCCTCCTCCCGTAGTTTACTTTTCCACAATCACCTCTTTCCTCTACCCGGTATGAAAGTCTTTAGGTTCTGCCACTCCTTTGGGTCTTCATTTCCTTCTGAGGGCTCCTGTGTCCCATAACGCTGAATAAACTTGTATCATTTGCTTCTGTTAACCTGTCTTATGTCAACTTACTTCTAAGGCCGAGCCAAAAACTTTAAGAGAGTAGCAGCAAGATTTTGCCTCCCCTGCAGAAGCAAACCCTGGGTGCATTTTATTCTGTTAATGCGCAGCACACAGCCGCAGTTGTTTACATCCATGGTTTCTCATTCCATGAAGAGAAGAAGCTGGGTGCACAACACAGAAGGATACACCTGGGGGGTGTGTGCTGCTCATGGATGGAAGTTCTTCTTCTTTAGTTTATTCTTTAGATTAAACTTCCATTTGCCAGTGCAACCGATAAACCACGCTAATAGGAACTATGTGGAGGACACTCCATGGTCAGTTGTGAAACACAGGATTTTTTGACGGCAGGCCTTCTTAGAAACGTCACTGTTACTGCGCACCATGACTCTCCACTGTGACTCAAGTACTTTAATATTTAAATTTAAAAATAAAAAAAATTTTTAATGGAAAGAATCTATTACAGAAGGAATTAAGAGGCAGCTCTTGGTAGGTTTAGGGTCATCCAGAAGTCTGAACATCTCAAACTTCCCCCATGCCTTAAAGTCTTTCCCAGGACTAATACAATTTTTAGTCCCCTGGCTATTTGGTAGCATTTGTGAGTACACTAGAATTTTTAACTGGCTTTTCTAAAAGAAAAATTTTTTCCTTAAAAACACATTTGACATACTTTTCAAAAAGACATTGGGTGCAAAAAAGGATTTCTAAATGTTGATTTATTTTTGTTTTTCGGGTCAAGACTGTATGACTATATATGAGCTACCCATTATTTAGATACCAGAAAAGAACAAGGAAAGAATGTATAGGATATCTGATTTTTTTAATGTGAACAGCAATTAAGTATACAGTCTTGTTAAAGAGAGTGGTAAAAATTGAATGTTACATATATGGAATCAGTACATCAAATTTTACTTAGGTAGCTGATAATTCTTATTAACTAATTCTGCAAAAACCAAAACCAGTTATGCAGAAACCAGAGTAAAAAAAAATGCCCCTTTCTGAACCCCAGTGTGATCAAACTGATTTCGTATCTAGCTTATTGATAATATTCAGTTTTAGTTCTCCCTGTGCAAATAATACATGTGGTCATTAACGGTGGTTCGGGGAGGTGAAAGTGATTTCTCTTAGGAAAGTTCAACATAATAACCCACATATTAAGAAGTTATTACAGATTTACAGAGAGAAACCAGTACTGAGGGAACACAATTCACCCGTGTGCTAACAGGGCTACAACAGGTTTTGTTAAACACGGAGTCACAGACAGTGACGGCAGCACATGCTCAGTGCATCGCTTCATGGAGTGCGTGTGTGTGGCTCCGTGGAGTCAAAGACCACGTGTCCACCACACTTCTAATGCATGGGCTTTAATGGATACAAATCTGTCCAATTCTTTTAAAAAACAATTTAAACATCTTTTAAGACTGTGAACTTGACATGTAAGGACAGTGTGTTTTAATGCCCCACACATTGGGGAGATTAGGTGTGAAACACATGACGACCTCTTGTAAACAAGACTGTGTATACTTTTGTTGTACGACCACAAAGAGCTCTCAAAACAACTCAATACTTCAGACTGAGATCGGCACCTTTATTATTTGGCCAAAGAAAATTCAGATGGCTTTCCTGGAGTTACATGCACCCCAAGACACACACAAGGAATGAGTGTAACTGTGGCACTAAAAAAACCTGCCACTATGGAACACAGGTTAGTGTGCACTGATGCTGCACATTTTGCTAACACACTATGATTTGTTTGCTTCCCATCATCATGGGACACAAGAAAACGACACTCAAGACTATCTTGTTAGGACAGGACAAGTGATGACCCCAGTTTTAAACAGGGTTCTTCATTGAAGGAAAAGATAGAGCCATGAAAGTCAAATTCGCTGACTTCAAATGGTTTACGTCCCAGGATGAATCAGGTTACACTGATTGAAGCCCAATTTAATTTAGGCAGTTTTTCAACCACAAGAATAAGGTCATTCTTAGTACATATTAATAATTAAGCCAACATATACACAATTAGCAATATCCTATATAATATTAAATGTTTTATCAACTTGTTCTTGATTATTTTATATTTAGTTAATTTGTTGCTTTGTTTAAAAACAAAGCTCAACTTTATTTCACAATGTACTTTGTACTTCTAAGTGTTTTCTGTAATTATTTCATTGAAGCAGGTACAGTTCTCCGGATTTTATGAGCCAAACTCAACTGTATCATCTGTTATCTGTTTAAATTCATAACTGCCTCTGCCATCCATGTGCAGGTAGTACTGTGGGAAGGAAGGGGGGAATCAATGAATAAGAGAATTTCCTTCTTGTCAAGAATTTATGTAGCGATTATTACAACAATTATTAGACATGATTTGTTTTAAGCCTTAAGAAATTTTAAAGTTTATATACAGAAATGCATACAGGTCTCCAAGGTAAGACTAAATGAAGAAGTCTGCTCTTTTTAAAAATACCAACAATATAACTCTGCTTGGAATATAGTACTTCCCCTTTTGAGAATTAAAATACTAGACTTCCTTACTATTTTAAAAGAACCAAATCTATAAGCGTCCCACAAATTAGAATGTTTCTATAACTCCATGACCAAGGATCTGATCTACGACAGGTCAAGCTGAGTCAAATGCAGTCTGTTCAAAGAGGCAGCCTTTAGCGCTTCCTTAATCATGCTTCCTAGACCAGCCTGGAGCCTACGCAGAGGCTCTTCTGCTTCTGGAGTGGGCACAGGGGGAAAAGAGGGATACAGTGTGCCCATCTACCCCATCCTGTGGAGACAGCTCGGGACAGTGGTGAATACAGACTTCTGTTTAGTGGCTTTTCATTTACAGAAAGGACTTCTGTTTTCCCAGTTTCATATTGTTATTTCAGAGCTATTCTGGCCTCTAACTTTGCTGTTCTTCCTGCCACTCCTTTTTCACATGACCACTGGCCTGATGGGTAGTTTGCTGGAGGTAAAACCCAAGTCCTCTCACTGTCCTACGGCTGTTAGGTTTGTGAACGTCTGAAGAAAACACAGAGGCTTGGATATCTTTTAAACTTCTTTGATTTCTAGTTATTCAATTTCTCATCCAATTCATGAAAATATGGGCAAATTATGCCCTAAGATAAAAAAATTATCTTTACAAGGCACATAGTCATACAAAATTTCACTACATTTTATTAAGTGCTTTCAGATAGGCTATCTCTTTGATCCTTGAGGTAATAATCTATAAGACACATAGACAAGGATCAATAATATTATATGTTATTATATGATATGTTATTCATATAATAATATGTTATTATATGAAGGAAGCAAAAAATGCCAGAAACAATGGTATCTGAACCCAGGTTTTCTGACTTCAATCCCAAGCTCTTCATTTCATCATTTGTGCACTGTCACCTAAACTATCAGCTCCTGAGGGTAAAGACAGGTCTCTGTATCCCTCACACACTTAGCCTAGTACTTGGCACAAAAGGTGCTCAATCAGGGACAAGATACCCTCGTTCCAACTTTTCCCAAACCCTTTCTTTTACCTAAACTTTCTGTGTCATTTAGGGAGGGAAGGGGAAAGGGAAAAAAAACAAAATGAATTAAACTAGGTTTACTTTTTAGGGTCTGATCATTTTACATTAGGAGCTGTAAAGAGCTGCTGGCCATCCTGAGAATGGCACTGCTGGAACGGCAGGAGAAGTAAGGTGTCTGTTGCCAGCGTGACTCTCTCTGTGCATCTTTGTAAGCTACGTGACTGCCAGTGAGGTCCACCTCACCGCAGTGCAGTGATGGACAAAACTGACTCAGTTTCCTTCGAGTCCTGATCTCCACCCAAAATGCCCCTAGACATTTGGGGATCTAATCTTTCTGAAGACTCATTCTTCTCTTGTCAATACCAGATGGTAACAAAAATTTTACTTAGCCACAGTTGTGACAAAATTTGGCAAATTTTAGTCAGTCATTTACTAAGTCATTTATAAAACTGGAAAACCACTAACTGGTTCTCTAATATCTCTCATTTAAAACAAGGTATTGTTTATATACATGCAGCTTTTAAAACTGACAACTTCAACAATATTTAAGAAAATCCTATTTCATTTTATAAAACTGAATCACCCTTTTCCCTTAAGGTATATGTAAATAAGGGAATATACACCGAGAAATCTAAAACCATAATCACCTGAATTCCCATATTTAAATAAACTTTCACAGTATCATTCAGTGTAATAAATACAAACCTCATGGTGCTTCCAAAGAGACTTCCTATGCGACACGGTGAAGAGGGTGATGCCAACCTAACACAGAGAAGATGACTGAGGGTTGTACCAACAGCACAGAGGACAATCTACACACTCTATATAGTTTAAGCTACTAAGATAATGGTCTTCAGTAGCTGCAGTTAAAAATCAATGTCAGAGAAAACATTATAACAGATGCCATATGTTTAAGGTAATACAAAGTATAAGCCATCAACCACATAATAAAAACTAAAAGCTACCAATAAAGTTCTTTAAGAGAAAAAAAAAAAACCTAAACTGACCAGTACTAGCAATTGTGTGTTATTGTGCTTTGGGCAGAAAATAAATATCCTAGCACATTTTCTATTTATTGTGAAAAAAGGTGTAAGAATGATAGAGACAGCAAAAGGGCAAAATCAGAAAAATTAAATCAATGCAGTACTGTCCACAGTCAATTTGTTTTTCAAATACAGGGTCAATAATCCTTTATTGGAAGCCCATGTGGGGATGTGTCTTGGAATTCAAATTTTGGAAAAACAGTATTTACCACCCCTCCGCTTTCTGGGGTAGAGTTCTATAATTAAACACACAAGTCCATCTATAGCAACACCTGTGGACAATGATGATGAACAGATAAATTAAATATCTTTTGGTGGTTCAGGCCAGCTTTAACTACCCAATGAGCTTTTAGCAGAAGATAACAAAAAATCTTTTCACTTTAATAGCTTACTGAATTTTTTTGACTTAGAATAGGTTTTTACAAATTTGAACTTCAGATTTTTATTAAAAACACTAATATAGTAACAACTAAATAAAACTAGTTGCTCTGGATCCCTGGTTCTCACAACTGGAGGGTGGGGTGTGTGCTTTGTCCCTTAGGGGACATTTGTCAATGTCTGTAGACATTTCTGATTGTTACAACCGAGAGTGCCATCGCCATCGAACAGGCAGAGGTCAGAGATGCTGCCCAGTGCCCTACGTGCAGAGAACAGCCCCGAGGGCCAACAGTGGTACGACTGAGAAAGCCTGCTCCAGACCCCTGGTTTCGGAACGGACCGCTCAGGCCGGCAGAGACAGAGGCTGGTGTGCGGGAGGCTGCCATCGGGAGTTCTACACTGCACTGCCATTTCATAGTTTTTTAAAAATTGGCATTGTTTATTCTGGATCACTTCTATCATGAGCTGGAAGTGCCCAAGTGTGCATTTACACTTACGTTGTACACAGTGATGACAAAGTAGTATCACTTAAAACTTTAAATGCATCACAAATTTGGCTGCTATGTAGAGAGCTTCTCAAATTGGTTAGAAATCACATGACAAAATAAGTACATTAAAAGTTAATATAACATACATTTCAACAGTACAATTATCTGATTTTCGAAAGCTCATTTCAGATATTATTTCTCTTCATAACTGCACAATAATTGAATTACATCTTGACTTAGTGAGGCATTCTTTATAACAGAATCACTAAAGTCAAAATACACAGTAGAAGAACTGCACCTTCTGTGGGGACTTAGAGCCCACAGCTAGATATTTAAGGAAACCGCACAATCAAAACAACCAGCGAAGAGCCCCTCAGTCGCTGAGCAAATAGAGACTGCACGGTTTATGTGTAAGAGAATAACACAAACGTCTCTAAGACCTCTGAATCTGAAAATCTATTTAGACAAATGTATAAAAAGTAACTGACTCAAGAAAACCAATCATCCAAAAAGCAAAGTCAGGAGTTAGAATCTTCCTACACAGATGAATGTAGCAAATTTATTCTTTCATCAGTACGTCAATGCTTCTCAAACTTTAATGTACCTTTGAATCATCTGGAATTTTTGTTAAAACACAGACTCTGGTTTAGAAGGGCCTGCGATTCTGCATTTCCAGCAAGCACATGGGCTGTTGATGCTCCTGACCCATGACCACACCTGGACTAGCAGGAATTCATGCTTTTATGTGCAACCTTATGTATTTATTGTAAATTTCCAAAGAAGAGTTACAAAATGGTACTTCATTTACTTACATAAAATCTTTTTGGAGTTTGCTCAACATTTTGAGGAAAATTCAACAAGATTATAGATCATAGTGACAATTCTTCGCAGGGAAAAAAAACAAAACTGAGACTACTGACTAATTACTTAAAGAATGGAAGCAATGCAGATACTCAGAAAAGGCTACTAGCCCAGGCCAGAGGAAAAATGGATAAATTAAAGTTGCCATATGATTATTGCTGAGTTTTCTTGATGAAAAAACCAAATGACATTTAGGTAAAGTTAATGGAACAAATTAAGAAAATACCAGTTAATGAACTCTGAGGACAGGGAATGAGGTAAAGGGAAGTAAATGTAAATATATCATTTCTTTCATATCTAAGAGGTGTCTAAAGGAAATTATATACATAATAAATTTACTTTTTCTTCTTTTTTAAAGACTTCATTTATTTATTTAGACTGAGAGGAAGGAAAGAAGAAAGAGGGAAACACCAATGTGTGGTTGCCTCTTGCACACCCTGCAGTGGAGACTTGGCCCGCACCCCAGGCGTGTGCCCTGACTGGGAATCAAACTGGTGACCCTCTGGTTCACAGGCCTGTGCTCGACCATTGAGCTACACCAGCCAGGATAAATTTACTTTTTCTTTTACTCATATCTTTTATCAGTTTAAAATCTTTGCTAAAGTAAGGTATCATCTGTTGATAGTAGTTTTGTTACTTAATAACTTAGAATCTTCTCTTTGGACAGATATCTGGTTGGCACAGAGTAAACCGGGAAGGGGGACATGGACCCTCCACCTGAGAACCTGCCCAGCTTACCTCTCGACAGTGACTGTAAATGTAGCCTTCCACGTCCACACTCACGGCGCTTGTGCACTCATCCAAAATGGCAAACTGGGGTTTGTGATAAAATAATCTTGCCATCTGAAACATAAAAATATTTTATATGATTGCATTAATGCAGAACTTAATGTATACTGTATTATACAGAATTAACTTCGGTATAATGCAGAAGTTAAAAAGCTAAAATAGATTTACTTAAATTAAGTAAGCACTTACAGTCTTACAAAGCAAGCATCAAAATTATTCTAATTCAGAAAATCTATTTCCCCCTGGCTGGTGTAGCTCAGTGGATTGAGCGCAGACCTGAGAACCAGAGGATCACGGTTCGATTCCCAGTCAGGGCACATGCCTGGGTTGCAGGCCAGTTCCCAGCAGGGGACGCATGAGAGGCAACCATACACTGATGTTTCTCTCCCTCTCTCCTTCCCTTCCCCTCTAAAGATAAATAAATAAAATCTTTTAAAAAAATCTATTTCCCAGAAATAAAAACAATATAAATACACTGATTTCTTTTTATTATCTTCTGGAACAAAGAGAGAAATGTAATGCAGGGGAAATATTGTTCAGAGTAAAAGAAAACTTTTAGGACTGCTATAAGGTGAAATTGAGTTTTAAACTAATATTCAATAAAGTTCTCTATACAAGATTACAGGATACTTATTTTAACCAAATCTTAGCATTCAGATGTATTAATGGCTCAGGTGCAAAAATGTATCTATCTTTAAATATTTTGTTGCTTAAGTAATGTCCATTAATATTAAGTTGCCAATTAATACTCCCGCCATTTTTAGCGCACCTTTATAGACTTGCTTGTTTCTTAAAGCCTTTGCTAATTTATAAGTAAAAATTAACATCAAGATTGTTACAGTTTTCATTTCTTTGATTAGCAGGAATGCTGGACATTTTCTAATGTTTACTTTCTGTATGTGGTTTATTTTCCGGAAATTATTTATTCTGATCCTTTGTCTAACAGACATTCCAATTCGTCACCTGCCCCTAACAATGATTTCCATGCTGCAAGACCAATGGACACTTTTCTATCACTACCCAATTTATCTTCTATGCAAGATGCAACTCAGGTGACCACTCCCTCCTTCTTGAGAAAGGGACAGTAAAATCATGGCCTTAAGTTCCCTCCTACTTTTTAGGCTGCTCTCCTGGTTTCTTTGCCAGCATTTTCTCTTCCACATAACCATTCAATGTTGGGGTTCCTCAGGCTAACTCCTAGGTCCTCTTCTCTTTTTCCTATATTGTATTTCTCTAAGTGATCTCATCAAATCTCATGATTTCAAATATTATTTACACTTATAAATTCCCAAAAACATCTCATTTATACTTCTAACCTTCAGACTGATATATAAAAATTCTTATTTGATATTTCTACTTGAATATCTCACAGGACTTTAAACATCTAAAATTCATAGATTTTGTAGATTTTCCCTTAAAATCCATTCATCCATCATCCCCAATATTAAACACTTCAGAAAGTGACACTATCAGACAGCAGCTCAAGCTAGAAAGCCAGGAGTCCTTCTTGACCTTTCCCTGTCCCTCCTCCCCCTCACCTCCCCACACCCCTCACTTTGCGTCTGTTTGCTGGAGAGGGTCCTGCTCACACGCAGTCCACTCACCCTTCCCCATCTCCACAGTCATGCCCTTGACCTGGAGCACAACCCTCTGTCTGGGTGGTCTCAAAGAGGCTCCTACTTCCTCTTTTACTCTTCTCCCATCCACTTTCCATGTCATTGGAGAGGCACTCAGATATGTAAATCACAGAATTTCATTCTTCTGCTTAAAACCATTTAACAACTTCCCACTTCACTTAAAATAAAACTCCAATTCCTTACCAAGGTCAACGAGGCCCTGTGCGATCTTACCCCTCCTCACTCTCTACCCTCCACATTCTAGACAAAACCAACTCCTCTCGACGACCAGGACACAAGGTCTGGTCTCAGGCCTCAGAGGCTTAGTACTGTCACTTTCCTTATGTTGCCAAGCCCTTAATTCGTTTCTCGCATCCTTCAAATTTCTCCTAAGGTCCCCTCCTCGAGCAACCTACCCTGACCCCTCCCCATCAATCCCAGTGGGTCCCGTCCTAACATCTCTGCAGCACTTCCCATCCTGGGAATTCAACTGTATGTGGTCTGTTTCTTTGTCTACTTCCCCAGGCTAGAATACTCACACAAGCAGAAACCCCATTTTAATCAGCACTGCACAGCCAACACTTTATATATGAAAACATTCAACTAGCTGGAAAATGACTAAAACATACAACACAGATTTCTCGGGGTTTATAGCTATTTGTATGGGGTGAGGAAGAGGAAACAGCAAGTACAGACACGATGCAGAAGTTCAGCTGTACAAAGGAATGGAATTATGGAATTTTGGTGAAGGCCAAGTTTGCTTTTTAGATTGGAGAAACCTGAAAATTTCTTTTTGAAAGAGACTAGAGAAATTAAATATAGGGTGCATCTGTGTGTGTCTGTACATGTCTGTATAACTGAAGGAAAGGGATGTGATAAAGTCAGAGAAGAAAGGGTCCAAAAACACAAATGAAGGAGGAGTGGTTATCTGAAGGTTTTCACAAATGCCCCTCCTGTGTTCCCACGAACTCTCTGCATTCTTTCAGCACCACACTTACCACATTATGTGGAAATACTCTCCTGTGTGCCTCTCCCTGCTCTGCTGTCAGCTACGTGGTGCCACACTAAGAGTGTAAAGTGACTAAGTACAGGATGGGACAAAGGCAGGTGTACAGTTGTAAGCATGCGAGTTTATTCTTGTATTATCATTTATTATCGCATTACTTTCCCAACCAACAACTGTAACCCTAACTGCTGCCCCGCCCTTATGACACTGCAATCGCACTGCTGCCTGAGCTGACAAGCCGCCCCACCAGCTTTAGTTTTTATTAGCTGTCCTCTCCTAGCAAACTACTCAACTGTACTGCAGTTCAGTTTCTTCTGTAAAATGGGGCATTCACAGTTCTTGTCTCACAGGACTTGTGGGAATGAGACAATCTGTGCAAAGTGCCTACCATACATCTATCAGGCACCCAGTAAAATGAGCTGTCCTGTCACGGAACAGCTTCTTTTTCTGTAAGAAGCAGGAAGCAAGTTGCTTTGCTAAGAGTGGTGGAGTAAGGTAATGGGTTAGAAGGCTTGAGGTTGGTAGTTTTTAAACAACTTTCATGAAAAATGAGAGAGAGAGAAAAGCTAAAGAAAAGTACTGCCAAGCCATGCTGTGAGCATCTGCAAAACTGGGCACCATAAAAGTGTGGGGGCACCAACCCATATCATTCTGATTTTTCAGCTGTGCTCAAAAGCCCATGCACAGAAATGCCAAGGCAAACAACTGCTCTTGGGCTGGGGCTTAGGTAATACAAGGAAACAAAAAGTGAAAAGGGAAGTTAAGAGGAAGAGATCACTTGTTTATTCCTTAGAGAAATACCTCCTGAATCCCTCCTGTGCGCCAGGTCCTGTGCAAGGCCCTGGATTAATAAGTCTGAACAAGACAGGAAAGGAGGCAGAGTCAGAAGAGAACTGACCACTTACAAGAAAAGGGAGGGTCAATATTCGAGAACGTTCAGCGAGTTTGAAGGAGGAGGATAGTTTGCAATTAGGTAAAAGAACTGTTGTAATTACAAGGATTTAAAAAACACTAAGACTTTTATGACAGAGGTATCACTGGTAAGGGGGTTTGGGGCCTTCTTTATAATTTTATAAATGCTCAAACTTCTCTGTCATATAATTCACAATAAGAGAATACATTACTAAATAGTAAGAGCAAAAACAGTGAAGTGGGAAAAGTAACTCTCATTCAAAGAAATAAGATATACCAACTTACGATTTTAGGTGGAGCAACCCAGGCTGACGATGGCTGGGGCCAACTAAGGTACAACACTAAGTACAACAAGTGACATATCATTCACTAGGTACAAGTGAACGATATGTCACTTGACTTCAGGGGACAGTGAGAGATGAGAGCCGAACCGTGCACCTGCACACTGAAGGCCATAGCAGGCTGGTGAGGAGCACGAGTTCTGGCATCAGTCACCTGCACTTCACCTCGGGTCTGCCCCTCAGAAGCTGTGTACCATTAGTAAGCTGCTTCCGCTCACCACGTCTTTCCCTCGTCTGTACCTTAGCTCACAGGACTGTGGGGAGGATTAAACAGGACCTGACACTGAAAATCAACTTTTCCTCATCATTGTCCCAGTGCACTTTCTTTGTAGCTATAAGACAGCTAGTTGAGAATATTTGGATGTCCTAACTAGATTATAAGGGTAGACACCTGACAAATACTGAACTCTGTAGAAATTATACCGTAATTTAGACTTTTTACTGTTAAAATAATGGAATAGTAATCGTATTTCTCTACATTTATAGTGAAGGAACTTTTATAATTTGTCACCAGAACTCCCTTTTATTCAATAGTATTATTCTACTTCCTCAGATTCAAATCCTGACTCTCCTTACCCAAAGGTTCCTTTGGTTCATTTGTTTTACACAAACCTTCACTCTTATAAATTCACTGTTTTTGGTGGTTAAATTTTTCAAGTGTGTTCTTCCCAAAAGTTGTAACTTTTATAATCTATTAATATAAATTTTTATAATTTATAAAAACTGTCTTCTCTTCCCTCAAATTCTTTCTGTGAAATGTTTTAATCCTACCAAAAAAATGAAACAGTAAAATGAACACACACAACCTTCACCCAACTTCATCAATATTAGAATTTGTTGCATTAGCCTTCCTCTGTCCCCACAAACCCTCTGACAGTAACAGAACAATATACTGCTTTCAAACTTCACATTTAATTTTCCAAACACTGGCCCACACGGGACACGCCCAGCCGGTCAATGACTTGGTCACGCAGCAGTGTCACGGGGAGTGAGCCTTCTCCATTCCCCCCACTCCCTTTACTCTTTAACATATCCTCTCACTCCCCCAGTCCTTGAGTTTCTCACCTTCAAATAAAAACTTTCCCCTCTGTACCTTTATACCACAGACACAGGGCTATGCACATTAATTTTTCTTTCTGAGTGTCTATTGTGTCCATTTATAAATCTTGACTACCCTTCCACTTTCTTTGAAGTCACAGTACCAGAATTTAAATGTTATTTTGACTTGTAGTTATTTTTATAGCCATCCTCTGAATTCATTCAAGAAATGCCCAATCACTTCAAATTCTCATTATTTCAGCCTAATTTCCCCTTTGAGAATGGCTGGCAGCTCTCTCTCCTTTTGTTCATTCTTCACTCTAAATCAATCTCTTATGAGAGCACTAGCCAAATAAATCACAATATTAGGTTGATATTATGTTCATATAGAATGGGTATGATTTTGGGAAAAACAACACGCAAAAAACCAGGAAGTAGAAGACGACGAAAAGGTACAATATAACCTGAAAATAATGAGTAAGCAATTCTACAATTAGCCATTTTTTTCTGCTGCCTTTCCTTGGCTGCGGTTTCCTTTAATTTCCACAAGATTAATATTCTGGAAAGAAATTCCTCTGGATCTGCTCAAACTACAGTATGTCCAGCTAGAAAATGACTCTTTAAAAGTTATCCCTCTTAACAGAGAATTCAAAGTATCATTCTTATTATGTAGTGTTTTATAGCCCTATTTGATTAGGGATAAGTTTAGTCAATCATAAAATTAAAATAATTCCTTCCCCTTCCCAACGCTTTTTTAGGGTAGGAAAATTTTAAAACTCTAAATAATTTTAGGTGATAGAGACTGAGCCCTGAAACAAGGAAATATATAATGTCAGAGGGAAAGGGCAAGAACAGAATAAAGAATAAAATGATAATAAAATTAGGGTTCATCATCTCTAATATCTTCAACTACTTGACGGAGAATAGCCTGAGTAAGACAAAGAGATGTCTACAGGAAAAAGATACTGAATAAGATCTCATAACCCAACCAGAATTACCATATGTCCCCAGGACCAATATGGTATAAAGTTTCCTTGACTTTCAAAAAATGGATGAAAGATATATAATTAGATCTAAAACTTTTCCTTTCACAGGAAAATTCAAAATTCAGAATTCCAAATTTGCAGGCAAAGTACTTTCAAGCACCTTTATTATCACTTAAACTAATCTATAACACTGCTCACTACACAGATTAAAATAAAACTGTGTGCCTTGCTTGATTAATCAATCAGTTACGTCACTACAAAATGTCATCAGAGTATACTCACTGCCATCCTTTGCTTCTCTCCACCACTGAGTACATCCATCCAATCCTGAACACTGTCCCAGCCTCCTTCACGTTCAAGGATATGACCCAACTGGACATTATCCAAATACTCCTTGAGTACCTTTCAGCAAAATGATTAAAGATGAAATCAAGCTTAATATAAACCAACATTCTCTATCTTGCTTTATTTTTTAAACTAAATTGCTATAATTCTGTGGCCAATATCATTTAAAGAGGAACATTTCACAAAAGAATGTGGAACAAAGAAAGCCCGTAAACCCTATACTTCCTAGCTATATTAACTTTGACAAAATATATCTAGCAATTTAATAATAATAATAATACTATTGTACGTAATTAAATGGCAAGGGCAGTGAGAAAACAAACAAGAGTACAAAGACAAGGTTAAACACCCAAGAAGTCATATTTAAGCAAAGTGGTTAACACCTTACCTCAACTTGGAAATTACAATTAATGTCAAATTAGAAGGCTTTACAGATTAGGATAAACTACCCAGTATTAAAAATACTTAACTGATTAAGACAAAGTACCTGAAACAGAGTATTTGCAGCAGGTCTAGGATATAAACATTTACTTACTAGGTCAGATATCCCCTTCCTTTTCTGATCTTCTCTTCCATCTGGATATATCACTTGGTCTCGAAGTGTTCCAAGGGTCATATAAGGTCTCTGAGAGCAGTAGAGCAAAAATTATTAGAAGTGAATTTTTAAACAATAAATAAAAATCTTTAAATCAAAAATTACAAAATAACTCAAGCAAGGTCTTACCTGAGGAACATAAAATAACTTTCCTCTCTCAGGTTTAGTGAGACGTCCTCCAAAAAGAGGCCACAACTAGAAGAGGAAAGAGGTGGGGAGAAGCAGTTGTAAACTTCACAGTGTTGTAGATCATATGGCAAAAGAAAACTGCAAAATGTTGAGGCCAAGCTGGACTTACTTCACCAAGAACACGGAAAAGTGAACTCTTTCCACAGCCATTTGGACCACAGATTAGAACATTGGCCCCAGATCGAACCTGAAAGAAAATTATGAATTAATATTTAAATAGATTTAATTAAAATAAATTAATTAGAGTACATTTATGCACAATAAACATTTCCTTAGAGTTCCTTTGCTCTTTGCTAATGATAAGCTTTTGATAAGTTTTGTCTATAAATGGTAGAAGCACTGAAGGGACCCTTTATTTTTATTTACTTTCATTTTACTCATTTTTTTATTTAAAAGTCACTACTGATATTATCAACTTAACCTCAATCAGAATAGAAAAAGCTAAAGCTTAAAAATTTGAGAATTCTTGAAAACAATAAATATGTATGTGTATGCAGTTTTTAATTTTATTTTTCAATTACCATATAATTTATATTCAATATTATATTAATTTCAGGTATACAGCATAGTAGTTAGATGACCATATACTTTACAATGTGATTGCCCCCCCATATTGATATTTCCACCTGGCACTATCCACAGTTATTACAATATTATGGACTATAATTCCTATGCTATAAACCTTTTTTTTAATGGAATCCTACGTTCTAGTTACTATTTGACAATATATCATATATATTCTTCCAGGTCGCTATATTCAGATTCCTCTTATTCTTTTCTTTGAATGCTTACAGTGTACTCCACAGCAAGGATGTGCCATAATTTATTTTTTATTTATTATTTTTTAAAGATTTTATTTATCATTAGAGGGGAAAGGAAGGAGGGAGGGAGAGAAATAGCAATGTATTGCCTCTCGTGCATCCCCTGCTGGGAACTAGCCTGCAACCCAGGCATGTGCCCTGACTGGGAATTGAACCTCGATCCTTTGGTTCGCAGGCCTGCACTCAATCCACTGAGCCACACCAGCCAGGGCCACAATTTATTTAAATATTCCCCTTTTGTCAACTATTTAGGTTGTCTGCATTTTGTTTTGTTTTCTTACATAACACTACAATAAACCTGCATGACAGTATGCAAATTCATGCACTAGTGAGGAAAGCTTCTATAATTCAGATACTCAGAAATAAGTGTTGGATCAAAGTGTATACGAACTACAAATATTTACAAGTGCCACCAAACTGTTCTGCCACAACATAAAGTTAAAGGAGAAAAATGTAAAAAAGACCCATCAAGTGCTAAGCTCACAGTTTTGTGTTAACCTTGTAAAGACTGAGAAAATTTAGCTAATGATCTAGTTTACACATTATACAGCAATGTACACAGCAGAAAGGAAGACAACAAAGAAATACAAGTTACCTGAGGTGTAGAACAATTTTTAACTGAGTCTATTTTTAATTCAATGAATATTTATTAAATGCTCAGTGTCAGGCTCTATTCTAGGCAATGGAGCTACATTAAAAAGAGACAAATGTCCCCCAAAACAAACAAAAAAACTCCACACCCTCTCCTTACCAGTCTGCATTCTAGTGGGAGAGACTTAATATAAAGATACATAGAAATGAACTAATTAAATGTTAGAAAATAAGTTCTATGGAGAAAAAAACAGATCAGGGTAAAGAAACTTGAGTGGTGGTAGAGGTTGCATTTTAAGGGGACCAGGCCAGACAACTGGACAAAAGTTGAAAAAAGTAATGAATTAGGAATTTATCTGGAGAAGATTGTTCCAACCTCAACCCTACCACAAAAAGCCGATTCAAAGGCACTGAGGCAGAAATGGACCTGTTCTAGTCAAAAAGCAGAAGGGAGGCTGATCTGGCTGAAGAAAAATGAGCAGGAGAGAACAGTAGTAGGAAATGAGTGAAGAGAGGTGAGAGGTGGGGGTCTGGGTAGTGGCAGGCAAATCCTACAGGGCATACTAAGACACTGAATGGATTTTTGAAAGCTTTTGTTGTCATGAAATGAAGTTATTTGCATTATTCACAATAGCAAAAAAATGAAAGTGGCTCAAGAGAATGAAATGATAAGCAAAATGAGGCATAAACATACAATGGAATATTATTTAGCCCTAAAAAGAAAAATAATTCTAAAACATGCTACAACCTGAATGAACTCAGAAGACATGATAAGTAAATAAATCAGACACAAAAGGATCGATATTGTATAATTCCACTCATAGGAAGTACCTAGAGTAGTTCTACTCATAGAGACAGAAAGCAGACCAAAGATGACCAGGGCCTGGGGTGGGGAGGAAAATGAGCAGTTACTGATTAATGGGTACACACTTCCTGTGTGTTATGATGAAAAAGTTCTGGAGATGGTAATGACGGTTGCACAACACTGTACATGTCCTTAATGCCACTGAACTCTGTATGCTAAAAAATGGTTAAGAGTTGAATTTTATGTTATGTATATTTTACCATAATAAAACAGAGAAAAAATGAGTTTCTAAAAATAGGTTGAGAATTACTGGCCTACTGTATATAGTTGACCACATCTTATGCAATCAATGTTAGAGAATAAACTATTCTGAATGACTTTTCCAGATGAATGAACTGAGAAATTATTTTAAAGAACGATTTGAATGGACTTCTTTATGTGCAATTATCTACTTCCTTTTCCTGTAAAATGCAATACAATGAATATTCCTAATAGTACAAGGTTATTATATAGAATAATTTTACTCTACTAAAAGAGCGATGTCTTTACAAGCTCCTAGAGTTCAGAGGCCTGTTAATTAAATGATTCCCTACTATTATGTTTTATTTGAGTAATGTTTTTTATTTTTCCTGCCCCTCACTGTTCATTATAATTTTCACTGGTATCCAATACTTCTCCACACATTTGTTTCAATATACCATGAAACCCTAAAACCAAATTTGTAATGATGTATATAAAAATAATAACAAGACTTATGGACATTCTTAGGTACTCTCTTACGCCCAAATGTCTTCCATTCAACATTAACTTCTTTTTTATTCCATGGCTTTTGGTAATGTTAGACAAAACTTTCCAATTATGGTTATCAGTCATGATAAGCCAGTGATAATTTTTCCATAATAAAGATTAAAATGTATTTTTTAATTTAATTATTGTTTAAGTACAGTTTTCTGTCTTTTACTCCCATCCCAGCCCACCCCCCCCGCAGTGCTCCCCACCTCCCTCCCACTTCCACCTCCCTCCCATTTCCACCTCCCTCCCACTTCCACCTCCCTCCCACTTCCACCTCCCTCCCATTTCACCCCCTCCCCCCCTCCCTCCCTTTCCACCCCCCCCCCCCCCCCCCCCTCCCCCCACTTCCACCTCCCTCCCATTTCCACCCCCCTTAGTTGTTGTCCCTGTGTCCTTTATGCTAGTTCCTGCTAAAATGTATTTTTTTTTCTAGAATGAATTAAGACTAAAAGTCAAGGGTAACTTTCACTGAAAACTGAATTTATAACCACACTTTATTATTGAGGTTCCTGGATTGGGTTAATGGAGCAACAAATACTTTGACCCACCATATTTTTTACCAAATAAAATATTCCCCTATGCTGTCCACTAGTCACATGCAAATTTATTAAAATTAAGCAAAATTTAAAATTCAGTTCCTCAGTTGCACTAATCATGGTACTTTATTTGCTAAAGATTTTTTAATACTAATATTTGAAACTTTAAAATCCTATCAATTAAAAAATTAAGATTTCTAAATTATTTCTAGCATTTACTTTTTAAAGCAATTTTGTAAATTCAGAGATTAGGTATGAAAATTATTTTAAATATTCACATAACCACCTTTCATTTCACATTTTGAAGATGAGTTAAGCTTTTATACAATCATTTAAAAACTTACTTCAAAATTAAGGTCTTGGATCAGGATATCTCCATTTGGCGTTGCTAAAGGAACATGCTCAAATCTACAGAAGAAATTAATTAAAAAAGGATAATTTTACGTTAAACAACTAAGTAAATGTAGATGAAAGGGTACTATGTAGTTTAACAGATGTTTCCATACATACTTTATAATGTTATCAGCATTGATGATTTCTCCAGCACCAGGAATCAAGGGAATGCTTTGTGCTCCTTAAATGGAAAATAAATGTTAAAGCATCATAATCATATCATGTATTAAAGCAGAAACTGAAACTATGTAACCTAGTGTATTCATATTTACCCTTCTCTTGTTGTGAGACCATTGTGCGCTCATATTTTCCATTATTTAAATCCTTTAGTACTTGCGTTAATTCTGAAATCCGAGCAGTAAAACTGAAATTTAAAATTAAAAAAAAACAAAACTATGATCAAATTTCCATAGGCTATCATACCTTTGACATTATTTATTTATTTACTTTTTTGAGGTAAAAGTGACATATAACATTGTGGAAGTACATATCTTTTATTTTATGTAGACTTAACTAAAGTTTCTAAAATTATAATCTTGTTTAAATAAAATAACAAGTCTCATCAACATAAAATATTAGTGATAGTATGCTTGTTTCACTATTATTTTTCAGCAAGAGAGCAAAAAAATGGGGATAAGGAAGAGGTTTCATAGGATTCCTACCTCAACAAATACTTCTTAGTAGGTAAGTCAAGAAGGTGTTTTGCTGCTACAATTGTGAGGAAGTTTATAGTAGATACTACAAAAGGACTAGTAATAGTACATTCCATATGCCCAGAAAGTATGGACCCTGAGTTCCCACTGGAGAGAGCTACAAAGCCTTGTATAAAGATGGCCTTCTATATAATGAAGGTATTTATTATACATACGCCAAGTGCCTGCTACCTCCCCGCAAACATGGAAGATTTGGAAGATTCCTCTCTTATAGTAAAGAAAAAAAAAAAAAGTATTCTTAATATTAGAGGAAAATCACTGCAGTAATAGAGAAATCAAAACTAATGACAAGAGGTTGAGGCACATAAAAATGACATGATGGTCAAAGAGAAGGCATTCTACACCAGAGACACAAAAAAGGATTTCTCTGTGAATAACAAGCAGCAATCTCCTAAAGGAACAGAAGCACTCCACATGCCATGAACTGGAAAGGCACGAAAAAGTTATTGACAACTAGGAAGAATGTCAGCATCTCAAATGAAAGAGACTCTGCATGGCAGTTTACAACTTCTCTCTTGCTGTGAAGACCTTAACTGTCACAGGAGTAGAAGAGGAAGAATAAAGAACAGGAAATGTGCAGATGAATCAGGCCTGAGAAAGACCTTAAGCCATAAGCCATCAAATTCCTCTAGATGACTTGACACTTACGGTGTTTTATGTTATGATTTTTTAAAAGATTATTTATTTATTTATTTATTTATTTATTTATTTATTTATTTATAGAGAAAGAAAAGAGGGAGAGAAACATCAATGTGTGGTTGTCTCTCATGGCATGCAACCCAGGCATGTACGGTGACTGGGGATTGAACAGGCAACCCTTTGGTTTGAAGGCCAGTGCTCAATCCACTGAGCCACACCACAAAGGGAATGTTTTTTATACCATACCTACCCTTTATATTAGAGCTTGACACACTGAAATATTTCATTGCATTTTACAGGCCAAGAATAATTTTACTAGGCAATATGGCCATATTTGCAACTGTACCTAAAGATACAAGGTAACCTTTATTTTTCCATTAAAATCAATTTCATTTTTGTTCATTTTTTGCTAGGTTGCCAATATCAAAGCTTTAAGAAAAAAAATGTATAGTGGGAGACAAAGTTCAAATTGAGAAGATGCTAGCCATTAACTTAATTTTCTGTGAATAAAAGAATGTCATGATTCAACATTTCCCAAATTACTGAATACCAGTGCCCATGAAGTAGTTTAAGAACCCCTAACCTAGTTGAAAGCTCAAAAAACTTTCTAAAGAAAACCTGAAAAGTTCAGTATTAGAGAAAAATCTTAATTCTTTATCAAAATCAGCTTTCAGGAACAGCAGCTTCAGTTATCACTGATCTTACCCTCAACTGGGCACAATCATTAACGGTAATGTATTTTTTAAAAATCATCCTCTGCAATTGCTCATTATTACTCATCTTACTTACCCAGCCAATCTGGTCATTTCACGGCCAGCCAGAACTATTCGGCCCAGAGCTTGAGACATTCGCAAAAGCATCCTTCCACTTTGGTAGTAATCCTTAAATAGAAATAAGTAATTTCACTTATCATATTTTGCCACATATAATATGCACCTTCTTGCTCAAATTTGTGAGGGAAAAATAAGGATGCACATTGTACATGGTAGTACTAATTGCATATCTATTTAAATGTTAATTCTTCTATTCATGCATATGCATTAAGTGTAACTCTAGAAAGCAATAACATCTGTATGCAAAATAATACCCTGTAATACGATAATCAGTTTTCTTTCTAAATATAAATAAAAATTGAATTAAAAAATTAAAGTGAAAGATATATTTTCCTGGAAGTTTGGGCCAAAATCATGGGTGTGCATTATACATGGGAGAGCATTATACTTGGCAAAATACAGTAATTTCTAAGGTTAAAAACTAGATTTTATTTATTTTTACATTTAAGTTTTCAATTTATTTTCATCACTACAACTTTACCTCTAGAAGTTCTGAATGTGTACTTTTGAGATGTCGAGGATGAGACATATCTAGGAAAGGACGGCTAACAACTAGGTAACCAACCACAGTGGCAAGATCTGAAACAACAAAATTAAAATTAAAATACTTCCATACTTCACTTTTTCCACAAATTTCATTCCCCCATCTCTTTTAAAGCATACTTACATTTGGCAATTATGCTATCAATGAAGCCCATAGAAAACCGAAAGAAAATGAAATTATGCAGGTGTTCCACCTGACAAAAAGCAAAAACAAAAAATAATTATTTTCCATGTATTTAAAAAATGAATCTACATGAGAATTTTTAAAAAACTGAATATCCAACAAATATTTAGTGAGTGCATATGATTTCTGATTATATTGTACATCTCAATTCTTCAAGCACAATGATGATCACAGAGCAGGTGCCAAACAAACACTTCATGAAACCATTTCTATACAAACGGAATTAAAATTATTACATAGAGAATGTTAATGTGGGGTCCCTTGCATGTAATAGTACAATGATATTTATTCACAATACTGTGAGATACATATATGCTTTGTTTTATTTAGCTTATTGATCAGTAATAATCTAAACAAACACAAGCAAAAACAGAAGGATGAATTCATTCAGGTGAAACACTAGCAGTCCAGATTGGCACTCAATGCTTTGTTTTAGCTGGAGACACATGGCAATGAATTATATTAACTTATATAAATTAATGCCCCACAGCCTGAGTCCATAGTTTTAATCTGAGCATGCATTATCTCAAAATTACAAGTCTAAAGATGTTCTTTATTCTGCTTTTTTAATGTTCTCAAAGTTTCCATCTATCAGATTATTCGAGGTCCTGCATGATCTGGCACTGAGCTCTATCTCAAACCCCTTCTGTGTCTACTTTGCCCCTTCTCACTGAGTTCCGGTAGCAAACAAGCTCCTGCCTTAAGGCTTTCCTCCTACTGTGCTCTCTGCCAGGAATGCTGTCTAGGTATTGATATTTTGTGACTAACACACCCACATCAAGTGGGTTTCTGACGAAATGCCACCTCCTCAAGAAGGACCTTCCTGCCATCCCAGCTAAAATAGCTAGGCAACAGCCGCCATCATACTCTCTTCCACTTATCCCATTTTATTTTTGGTCATAAGAATTCATTACCATCTGAAATCATATCAAACATCCAGTGGTTTACATGTTTATTGTCTCCTCCACTAAAATGTGCATTTCCTAAGTACAAGGTAGTTAGCTGCTCTTGCTTTGGTCTGTAAAAGAACAATGGCTGGAACATTTATTCAATGAATGCTATGTGTTACATGCTATGCTCAATACTGAAGATACTTCAAAGTCCCTGAGCTCATGGAGTTTACATTCTAATGAAGATGACAAACTAATAAACAAATAAGATAATTACAAATTACAATATATGCTTTTAAAGAAACAGATCATTAAAATGGAAAGTAACTGGTGGAGGCCATTTCAGATAGACTAATCGGAGAAGGCAAGGGCTCAATAAGGTATAAATTTGGGGACTGAAATCTATAGGTTAAGTATAACCAAGCCATGTGAAGAGTGGGCTTGTGAACAGCAGGCCCCTGGAAAAATTTCTTAAGTGCATTTTAGTGAGCACTACCACAGTTCAGTCATGTTAAATATAAATAAGGCCAAAATCCAATTTATGAAATAATTTTAAATGATAATCACTTTAATCTTTTTAAATCACTTCAAATATATATTTAATTTCACCAATGTCCATTAAAACATAAGCTCCATACGCGCAGACATTTGAAATCACGTTCACCACTGTTAACACACTAGCACCTGGAACAAGCACAGGCACCTAGGTGGTGCTTGATATCTTTGGAATGAACAGAATAATAAATAAAATTACTTGAATTCAAGTTTTCCAAGTGGCAAGTCAATAAAAAGTGAAATATAGTTTCCACAAGACACAATGTTTATATTCTAAATCAAAGGTCAACAAACTGTGGTCCAAATCTAGCCTGCTACTTATTTTTGTTAATAAAAGTTTGAATAGAGCACAGCCACACTCATTCACATATAGTAGATAGCTGCATTTGAGTGGCAGAGTAAACACTTGCAACAGAGACCACAACACCTGAAAAGCCTAAACTATGTATGTATTATCATGTCCTTTACAGAAGGTTTGCTGACCCCTGCTCTAAATAATAATCTTCACGATATTTTCATGAATGCTATGGGAACAAATTTCCCATAGGAATCACTAAGCTTATCACTAAGTAAGACTCCTATTCAATCTCTGTAATTTAATAAATCTATCATTTTATAATTAGACAACATATTGATGAGAACTTTTATTCTCATATTTTTATGAAAACACATAAAAATCCTATATAGCTTTTAAAATAAATATCTTAAAATTAAAGACATATATTTGTATCTTGGCATAAGCCAAAAAAAAAAATCTTTCCATAAATATGTGAGCCTCACACATGTTATCTTACCAGTTTTCGGAAGACTGTGTGGATTGTCTGCTTTTCTCTTTTATTCCCATTATAAAAGGCAATTTCTTCACTATTAAAAAATAATTTAGCAGTTAATTTTAATATTATCCAAGCCTAAAAATTATTGTAATACAGTATTTTATGATTGAAAAGTTTTATTTAAATGGACACTTTATGACGAAGAGCTTATGAGGTACAACTCAAGCCATGGTCTATCTACACTTGGTCCAAACCTAGTTCCTAGCTCAGCCGATCAGAGCACAGAAATAGAAATACCTATCTGACTAGGTCACAGACTAGACTGTGTCTATGTGTAGTATATGCCATATGTAACCTGGCTGGTAAAAAATGTGCTGGGTTAATTTTCAGAAATCAGAATAAAGAAATGAGAAGGAGACTGCCATGATATGCAGGAAGGGATGGCTGAGACAGCCATCACAAATTACAGATGGAGTACAGACTAGGTAGGAAGGGGAGCAGAAATCAACAGCTAGGAAAAGATAGGTAGTGATGCCATGACATGCAGCCTTGGAAAGACAGAAAAGCAAAGTGAGTAGGTCCTCATGCCTTCCCAGTGCCAGCTCCCAGACCTAGCTGCACAGTTGTTCTTATTCTTGTTCATATCCACACAACTTCTATTTTCTTAAGCTGGTCTGAATGGGTCCACAGTGCCACAAGAATCTTAACTAGAAATGAAAGGGTGTTTTTAAAGATGAAGAAAGGTTCAGTGTAGTTAAGTAAATGTGCTAAAGTCATACAGCTGAGATTATAATTGACCATATCTGACCCTAAAGTCCAGTCTTTCCATTTTATTCAGTATGATATAAACTTTCCTCACAAACTCCTCTCACAACAGGAGAAAAGGTTTACACAGAAGTCCTGAAGAAGGCAGTTAGAACAGCCTTCAGTAATACCTAATATTTCTTTAGAGTCTCTTTTCTCTTAATAGTTTTTATATTCTATTCCAAAACATATCTGTATTTTTTCCCTCACAAAAACAAGGTAACTTCCGTTTCAACCCCTTCAAGTAAAATTAACTTTCCATGAACTTCCCATAAAGACCATGTTTAACCTGCTTCATGGTTCCCTTGACACAATGATACAGAGAGCCCCAAGGGATCAGAATCCCAGTTTAAGAAACACAATTCTGCACCTACAATTAGTTTTCTTACTTCTATCTCCTCTGCAAATTTAAGTCTATAGAGGAAGATGAGGGAGAATTCTAATTCTCCTGAACTGAGTCATTTTAGCCCTATTCTAGAGGACTGATGGCTGCCTATCCAACATCTGCTCTCTTCTTCATCCCTTCTCCTAAGAGAACTCAAATTTTCTTCAAGTAATCTACCTTTTTCTGTGCATCCAAATGGTTTGGTAATGGCTTCAACCCCATATACTGAGGATGAATTCCAAATGGTCTAAGCCAATCACTTTGCAGTAACTGCTTTAGGCACAAATGAGCAAATAATAATTCTGGCCAATGAGATGTGAAAGTCCACTGCAGGGCTTCTGGAAAAGTTTCCTTGCTCTCTCACAGCAGAGGAGATGGCCCCATTTTTGTTTCTGGACTTTTTGTGGGGAAGGAAAGTTCATGAGATCTGGAACTGCTTTTGATATCTTGTGATTATAGGAAAAATTAGGCTGAGGAAAGGGGCAACATACAAAGGAGGACAGAACAGGGAGAACATCAAAGAGCCAGAGGAGGGGTCAGGGCTGGGTGGAGGTTGGCAAAAGAAGGGAAATGGGGGACATCTATAATAGTGTCAACAATTAAAAAAGAAGAAGAATCAGAGCCTTGATCAGACTGTGCCTGGAACTGCTCTACCTTAAGAGTTTTTATGTGAAGTAGTAAATGTCCATATTGTTAGGGCCCTCTGAGTCAGGGTTTTCTGTTTCTTCCAAGACGGAATCCTAGCTGGTACTGTATTTCAGTCAAGGCTGAAATTCTTGCCAAGACTTGGCAAGTCACCTCTCTACTCAACCATCTAGTCTTCTGCCTCCCTAGAGTTTAAAATCCTATTTAAAACTGGTATCATTTTAGCACTCCAAGGAGATAAAGTAAAAGGGAACTATTAAAAGAGTAATTTCCTAAGTAATTTTGTAAATGCCTATAGGATAGTAAAAATTAGGACCCTAAAAATGACTTACAGTTGACAGATTAATATATGAAAAAATTTACTGAACAAGTGTTACATATCAAAAACTGTGCTGTAAGTTTTATATACATTTCATGTTCATCCTTATAATAACTCTATTTATCTACCTATTATAAACAAGAGGAAGGAATCTATATAAATAACTTGCCAAAAATCACTGAATATGTAACAGATAGATGAAGGAGGTAGACTTTGAAAAGAGTCAGGCTGGTTCCAAAGCACAATACTTTTTCTTCCTAGTTTGGATTTTTGAACATCTAGAAAATAGGTAGAGGCACATGCAGTGAGTCCGAATTACTGAGTATTCTAAACACAGTCTCAACTAAAAATATTTCGGGACACATTGAGACAAAAATTTTTAAATATTATAAGTAAATCTGAATTGTACGTTGACTATGTTTAAGGTGAAATTAACAGAAAATTAGTAAACAATATGAAGAGGTGAATCAGATACTACATAGTTAAAACTAATTAGAAAAAGATTATAAAACTAGTATCTTTCAAAATGTATATTTTCAAAAGAGGTAAATATACCCCTACACACATAATTTCAGGAACAGTGTTTGTTACTAGACTTTTTGAAGTCAACTTACATGACCTCAATATCCATAAAAATACATTTTTAGTACAGATAAATACATTGAATACATTTCTCCTTACCTGTTTGTGATCAGCCGGGAATTAACGTATCTGTACTCTCCTTCATACTTTTGCTCAGTTATTGTCATCTTACCAATGGGTCTTCTGAGTCGAGTTAGGAATAGCCCAGAAACAAGTAAATAGGCCATCATACTCGCTGGGCCCTATTATTATTGCAAGGCAAAGATACAGAGTTCAAGTATATCTAATAAGTCTGAAAGCAACATGCACAATTTATATAGTTAACTCTTGACTTTGAGAGATGTTGATTTTTGATTAATTTTTCTTCTTGTTTCTTCTTTAAAAAAATATACACTGGACCTCTGTGCTTTTGATATTTATCTACTCCTCCACCCACCACTGACGCTCACCTCCCAGCTCTCCCACTGCTCCCCTAAAATTCCTAATTGCAGTCATTAGTCTTTCTAAAGCATCTGAATCTCTTCTGATTGAACTCGTCTTGGTATTTCTCAAGATTCCACAATAACTCAGATCTCCTTTTTAGTTTCTCTTTGAATATTAATATTATCTGAGGTTTCTTCCTTAGCTATCTTTGCCCAAATTTACCTCTCTAGTCCCATCACTCCTAAAAATCCAAGACACTATTTGCAAATAAGTACTATTCATTTTCACCTCATTGTTCTGTAGAGCCTCAAAGCTAGTCCCCCAAAATAAGCTCCATCTGCCTTTCCATTCTCATACATTTTGCTTCCAGTGACCTTATCACCCACTGACCATCCCAAGTCACAAGCTTCAAGATGACCTTTCCAAACTCATCACAGGCACTCACTTTCCTCATTTCTATATATACATATGTTCTGCCATACTAAAACAATTGTTTCCTGAACATGCCCTTCAAATAAGTTGTTCTTATGTCTGGCAACCCTGACAAATCTAACGAATGCCTACTCATCCTCCTCGAAGCCCCTCAAATACCACCTCCAATTCTTCCATCACAAAATATCTTATTCAAACTTCTATTATTGGATTTAGAATGCTGCATTGTAATTGCTTGAATGTCTACCTCTTTTACTAGATCATAACCCCTCCCCAAGTAATAACTGTCCTACTCATTTTTTTCATTCCTACTACACAGCACAATATGTGTGAATGCAGTGTATATTCAAGATTTTTTAAATTAATTATGATTGAGCCATTGCATTTAAACAATTACTATACAATATGGGCAAAAAGATAACTAAAACATAGTTTCTACCTTCAAGGAATGTAAAATTAGGTAACAGAAATACTTCAGTATATGTGAAGATATATATATATTCAATAGAGATATGCTGAAATATTATAAAACTCAAGTTAAGTACCATAAAAAAACTGCAACACAGAGAAAAGAGGGATTAGGCCTATTTACATCTTATAACAAAAACATGCTATAATAATGATTAAATCTGGATCATGAGATAGCAAAAAGGAAGGTAGACAATAAACTTCAAATCAAAAACTGCTTTTCCCAGCCCTTTGGAAAGGAACAAAAGAACCACTATATAAACTGTCTATTAACTACAAATAGACAGTTGGTTTATACATAAACCAACTACACTATTATATGGCTGTTATAAATATATAACATTACATATTAAATGACTAAAGTTAAATTCCAATAAGAATATACAGAAAAAAGGTAAAGGTCATCCTCACCAACACAAATATCAGAGACTGGGTAATAAGGTTCATGGGATAGTCAACCATTTATACTACCATCAAATAGTCTTGAAACTGGTACAGCAGCCATTCTAAAGGTATTCCTGATATTTTAACATTCAAATTTCATGTTAAAATGGCTGTCTCCAAATCTGTTTTTAGTCATTACTTTGCAACACTAAGTACATGTATGTTCAATGTTAAACACTGCACTTATAGTTATTAATATCACAAAAGTTTTCTAAGCATCGGACTTAAGGAAAACTAAAAAGCCAAATTAGAATAATTTTCAAATCCTCAGTACAGCATTATTTTATAACCAGACTTTATTAGGACATCTTGTTAAAACATGCTCTTGAGATATAAAACAAATTTTTATAAGCCATCCAGCTATTCGTAATTAGCATTCCAGCTATTTAAAAGGCAGCATAAAAGTAAACTCACCTGAGCTCCTATTGCACTTGTTAACTTGAAGATATACAAAACTATGTCTAAAAATGGCTGTAAAATAAGTATTAGAAGGTACAAAATTAGAATGAACTAGATGTAATATAACAGCAAGTAGATTAATGAATACATAAAAGATACAGTTATTAATGTCAAGAAACAGAAAATGGAGACTGCCTGACCATTGTCTACTGACAAGTGGGAAAAACATTTATCACTTCCCATCAACTAAGGCAGCTCTACTGTGATAATTAACCACTAGTAACTAAGTAATTTCTAAGGTAGTACAAAGACACTAAATAAAATGACTCAGGCTATAACCCCAAATTTGCTACCAGCTTTTCTGGTTTCTATATATCTTCACCTGTAAAAATGAGAGGTTCTTCCTGCTCTTAATACTGTTTCATTCTATCGTTTTATCATAACATCTACATGCTGAGGTAACTGAGTGAGCTTATCTGTGAATATAATTTTATGATGTAAAACTCACACTTCTAGAACTAAAACAATACATTAAGGTTCTCACACAGAGAGAGCTCAATCGACACACTGGAAGTGGGGTTTTTCTTTCACTTTTTATTTAACTTATTGGGGTAACATTTGTTAATAATTGAAGAGTTCTTAAGAAAAATTTAATCCACACCTGAAGATATATTTATTGATTTGGGGGAGACAGATGTGACAAAGGAAAATTAATCAGGTGGCCTCTCTTATTTTTGATCCCAATTGGGGATCAAACCCTCAACCTGGGTATGTGCCCTGACCAGGGAACTGAACTCACAACCTTTTGTTGTTCAGGACGACTCACCAAACAAATGAGCTGCCCAGCCAGGGCATACTAAAAGACTTTTTTAAAGTGTTTTTCAAGAAACCGGAATCGTGTTCATTCATTTGAGTTGATAGCCACCACTTTCTAATATGTACACTACTCGGATAGGTGACTTGGTTTATTAATTGGCTTGTACTAAGGTAAACCTTTTCTTTTTGCCTTATAAATATTAACTTGTTTGATTCCCAGTCAGGGCACATACCAGGGTTGCAGGCCGGTTCCCTATAGGCCAGTTCCCAGCAGGGGACGCACGAAAGGCAACCATACATTGATATTTCTCTCCCTCTCTCCTTCCCTTCCCCTCTAAAGATAAGTAAATAAAATCTTTAAAAAAAAAATCAACTTGTGAAATTCAAGTACATTTAAAAATTGAATGTACTTGAAAAGTTAAAAATACCAACACATGTCCGAGTTCAAAAAATTACGTAATGTTAAAAGTAAATATATTATAGTACCTAACACCACTCCACTTAATTTGATATTTTATCCTATTGCAGATGTGATAAGACCTGAGCTTATTCAGCTACCAAGATGTAAAGACTACAAACCTATAGAATTATATGAAAAAATTTATCTATGCCTACCATCCCCGCCAATCACATAGATATAGAATAAACTTTAAAATGTGGCAACGGGAACAGAAAAGAAAGCTGAATTACTGAACAATTTGTACTTGTCAGAGTTCCTCGAGTTTGGAATCAGTTAGCAAAGGCTTCTAGAGAGCTGAGTAAAGAACAAAGTTTGGCATGAAGTAAAAAGCTATTTTGGTAGTGGGCCTATCAGAAGGGGTGAAGCTCTTATGGATAGGTGTGACTTTTCTAAGAAATGACTATGCTCCCTCCATCCACATGTTTGAAGCAGAGCATTCCTAGTCTTACAATGCAACCGCCTTGTATGTGGATATCTGGATCAGTTTTGGCCAAAGGCAAAGATACTAGAAATGGTCCAGTCTAAAACAACCTCCTGCTCCAGACCTAGAGCAGTCATGTGGATTGAAGTGGGAGATGAAGCATCATCTAAAATGAAGAGGTAAGGGAGGGAATACGGTGCACAGTCTTATAGGTGCCGCTACATGTCCTAGTCAATACAAACAGTAGTGGCTAAGAAGATGGCTTAATGAGAAGACTATAGCAAAAGCTGATAACATCAATGAGATAGGTAAGAACTGAAGAAATTAGCAGAAAGAAAAGTGGTTAAGGCCCATCACCTGAGTCAAGAGCTTTGGCAATATTCTGGGAAGGGGAAGAAACAGTACGTTATGAAAGATTTTTGACTATTATTTAAATGATCTAATAGAATTAGAGCTACTGAAGGAGAGAAATTGGTAGGAAGAAGTGCTAGCCTAATATTTGTTAATGGATGTAGAACTGAAAACATAAATTGAGCACCAATCTCTAACAATTGCCAAAAGCACACAGGTCAAAAAATAAATATTTAAATTTATGTTGTTTGACTGAAATCAGCCTGCAATATTCTTATGAAATCTTTAAGAAACACTAAATTCTCAGTTCTTAGTTAAAGGATCTCATAAATATATTAAAAATTAAATAATTGTAGTTAAAATTATAACTCCAATTTTCTCATAAAAGCATTAAATATTTGTATGATGATGTTATACCCATCAAATCAATTCTACATAAATTTGTTTACATTCAAAATTCAACAGATTAACAAAAAATTAAAACAAGAAAGAGAGAGAAACTTACCTTACTAAGGTTTGAATACAAATCAACTACACTGTTACAAAACTTTTCTACATCTTGTGTAAGCAGCTGGTCTGGATTAGCTATTCTGTTGTCCAAATTTCCCATTTTATAATATGTGAAAGCTCTAAAATAGCAATAAGAAAAAAAAATTAAAACAGATATTTTTAAAAACTTGCATTATCCTACATAGTTTAAATTAATAGAAACAGAAAAGTCTGGAGCTGGAAGAGGCCCCAGATTGTCCTGATTTATTTTAAAGATGAGGAAGCCAGTCTAGAGAAGGATGAGTTACCAGTTAATGGAAGAGCCAGAATTATTGATTCTAAATACCAAATCTTTTGCTATATGTTTCTGGGCCTAAGGGAAATTTTCTTGAAAAACATAGCCAACAAAAAAGAAAAACTTCTATGTCTCAATATACTAGGTATTACTGTTCAATTTAAGTATTTTTAATATAAAAATAGGTTATTACTTACTGGAGATACTCCTCATAGAGGTATTTAGTTAGTCTTACTCGGAAGCACAGTTTGAGCTCATTTAACCCAAACTTCAAGAAGTTATTAACCAGAGAGATCTAAAACAAACAAACACATATTATTGGTTTTGCTTCATTTCTTTACTAAATCATAAATTATTTCTCTGTCATTGGCTATGTCTCCAAATCCTGTGATTTTTATACTAGTACAAATTTATACAATTTAGTTCTGTTTTACTTAAAATTTACAAAGAGACAAGAAAACATACTAAACCAAAACCTCTATTATCCTGGTATGTTAAACTTTACTTGGAACTTAATTTTAGAATATGTTAATATCATTAAATATAAGAAGCATCTTGCTGCCTTTCTTCATACACAAAAAGCAGCCAAGTCAACAATTTGATGTAAAGGACTTGCTTTTAGGAGTACTGACTTTTATATTTTCTGCTTCCTTCTAGCAGTGTTACAACCCCAGACAATGGAATTCTATACATAATGCATTTGCATTTGTTGAAAAAAGTAATAAAAGTCTTATATCTACTAATGCCATTTTCCAGATTATATCTAGAGTCACATTTAGTACACTTTTCCATCATTATATCAAAATTAATTCTTCCATAGCTCCAAAGTCCTATTTACATAAAACTTTTCAGAAAACACTGACTTCCTGCTGAATCTCAATTTTTGATATCTAAGCTATTTATCTCAATCTTTTATATTAAAAAGTCTAAAAGCCATGAATGTCAACCTTCAAGTTTTATTAAATCTGACATATAACCTAATTAATTGAATTTTTACAATCAAGCTCCTCCTTTTTACTCCTACATTTAAAATATTAAAATTCTGATAGTGCCTTATAATAGGCTAAAAAGACAAGCTAAGAAAATCATTTATAATTAGACCAAGTGCTCACCTTTATTTTTGATAAACTCAGATAATTAAATTCTGATTTAACTTCAAAGACAATTACTATAATACTGTGGTCTAAAACAATAAACATGAACCAGAGTGATTCTGCCCCCACTCCCTGACCTCCACGCCATGAAAGCTTTGGCTGTCACGCTGGGGGCAGGCTGGGAACCACTGCCATTTGGTGGGACGTACCAAACACGCAAGAAACCCTGACTTTAAAAAGTCCATGTATGTACACATCCACATCCACATAACTGAACCAAAGATAAGTTCCTTTTAATTTTTCTATCTAGTGTAAAGGTATACATTGAAATATTACACTATAAATTACACAACTAAATTCAAAATAGGAACTTAGTATCATAAATCTTTAAAGATCTTTAGTAAGTAAATATCCTTAAAGATTTTAGAAGGATGCAGTTTTTCCCTGTGTAAATTTAAAGAATTCCACTTACGAGAGGCATGGCAGCGATGAAGTTGAATAAGTACCTCTTGAAATCTTTTCTGCTACGACCAATGATACCACTGCAAACCACCACATGCAATGCATTAGTTGCAAAAAAAGCAAGTATGTAACACTTAGAGAACTTCTGTAAAACTCTAAAATTATTCAGGAAATTTTTACTGAATCAAAAGAATCAATAAAAAAGATGTTAAATATTTTCTTACAAAAACATATTTCCAACTTTTGAAACTATATCACTTTAAATAGCTTGCTTGAACATCAATCTATATAAATGGCAAAATTAAATAACTAGCTCTTTCCCTCAAAAAAATGGTAATTTTAAAAAAGGCTCAAGCTGTCACAAAATGGGTTTATATGGCAAAATAATTAACTCTACAGACCCAGGAATGGGTTTACTAGGGACAAAACAAACCAGTATTTCTTTGTTTTTAAAATACTTTAACATTCTGATTCTCATTTGTATGAACACATTTGTAGAATTAATGAGAAGGACTAATGAGAGATTAAGCTCTTACTATAATAAAGGGCCATGAATAAATATTTTAAGCTTTGTGGATGATAGGTTCTCTGTGGGCAAATGCTCAATTCTGCTATTGTAGAGCAAAAATAGCCAAAAATTAAAAATCCTTTGTCCTAATAAAATTTTACCAAAACAGAGAGCACTGCTTTGACCTGCAGGTCTACTCTACCGACCACGGGACTAAACGGTAACTCAGAAAGCAGATTAGTAGGGTTCCTCGGGGCCTCGCGGTCTGCTCACACACTTCAGTTAAACCAGCTCCTCCTTTTCTAATGTTTTTAATTTATTTTATATATTTATCTGTTCTTAAAATATCTATAAAGAACTTTTAAAGTGAAAGTTCCTCTACTTTTTTAAGGATTGAAAACCATCATATCATGTAAGTGAAGACTCTTTGAGTCCAGCTCCAGTAAAAAGGTATAATTTACTTGATCATACACTCTTTTATCAAATAACCTTTATTAATACTCTCAAGTATAAATAAAATGCACTAAATGATTTAAACCTAACTCCATACACACACACAAAATTAATGGGTATGTGATAGAGAAATACTTTGCTTTTTATGAAAGAGTAGGTAATAATGCCAAGTAATGTTGTTAGTTGGTCTTTTACAGCAGAAAGTCCTATGGTCAAATGAATTTAGGAAAATCTGGGTGAAACAAAGCTAACAAATGTCTTTATTAAAGACTTTCTCGGCCCTGTCTGGTGTAGCTCAGTGGATTGAGCACAGGCCTGCGAACCAGACAATCGCAGCTCGATTCCCAGTCAGGGCACATGCCTGGGTTGCAGGCTGGTTCCCTGCAGGCCAGTTCCCAGCAGGGGATGCACTAGAGGCAACCATACATTGATGTTTCTCTCCCTCTCCTTCCCCTCTAAGGATAAATAAATAAAATCTAAAACAAACAAAAAAAAGACTTTCTCAGTGCTTCACGTATAATATGTCCACTGTAACTCTCTGAGGGGGCTGTGTAGCATGTAGCATTTCTTCCGCCAGAATTAGCATTCCACACAACATACTTTGGGAAGTGTTACTTTAGACTGATAGAAAAAGCAATAGCCCAATTTTGATATAACTGCTAAAAAGAACGAAATAAGTTGAACTAGAAAAAAAGTTTAAATAGAAACACACAAAAATGCTATTTATAGCAATAAGAGTATTAGATACAAGAAGCAATTAAGACAGAACAAAAGTTTAGAGATTTAAAATTTTTTGAACCAAACTTTACATAAACCCAAGTGCTTTAGTGCTGCCCAAGCTGCAAAACACACAAAATTATAAAACTTTGGTAAAACACATGCTATCATTCAGCAATGGTTTACCACTGGAATGGCAGCTATAAATTTAAAAAATGGTTTCTTGAATAAAGCCTTATTTCTGCTTATTATTCCACTGCAAAAAATAATAAAGAATAATTTTATAGCAACCCGAATCATTATGATATTCGATACATGTAAGAATCTTATTAAAGATAAAGATGCTGCTTACAGCCAAATAGGTGAAAAATATATATAGATGATTACATACAGAAGCAATAAGATAGAAGGGCTGTCCTCCATTAAAGACAGGTCTGTCTTATTAAAATTTTCCCACATCCCAAAGTCATTAGCCACTGCTAACAAGTAAGCCTAAAAGATGTGAAAAATATTTAAATGAAGTACACTAAGGATCACAGCAGAAATAAATGAATCTAGGCCTACTCTGAAAGAGACAAAATGGAAAGGACAGATAAACTCATTCACAACGTAGCTTTTACTAGTAAGAGAAATGTGTACATTTTTCAAATAAATTTATTCCACAGCAACAATTCACAATATTTTAAAACTTACAATTTGACCAAATAGAAAATATTCTCTATATAGGAGAAGCTCAAAAATATGTATTAAGGAGAAAGTTAATCAACTTTAAAATGACCATTTCACATTGGTGAATTGGGGTTAAGAGTATAAGAAAGTTCCCCGTACTATTCTTACAACTTTTCTATAAGTTTACATTGCATCAAAATACATTTTTTATAAACTCTTAACTTTTCAAATTTTTTTCTATAGCTCATAACTAAAATTCAAAACTCAGTACCCAACAATTTGATTCCTGTAGCAGAATTACAAGCTGGCTCATACTACATAATAACTTTCCTGTGTCCATCATCACCAATTAATGCCACTTACTCTTTGGAAAGCATTTTTTGAAGGACAGTAGGTCTTTGAGAAAATATTTATTAGCAGCTACTCAAAGTTGGAAATCTCCAGTTTAAAAAAGTAAATATTATTCTTTTGGATTACAAAAACATGAAATCACAAAATCTGAACAAAAGAGGAAAACTTTTAATCTTCTATACTATACCATGATTACACAGGGTTTTTATATATAATATGTGATAAATTCGACACAGATATTTAATGTGATGTTGCTCACAGTGGATGTAATCTATAGATTTTTGCTACAAGTAATTAACAATGTTATAGTTGGGGAGTCTATTTTTAGTAACAGGTAAAATATTTAAGTAACAATTTAATTATTATTTAAGCCATCAAAGAAAAAAGTATATAATTCTATAAGAATGTAAAGGAGCATAAATGTCCTCTCTACATTAATTATACAAAGGGCTCAAATACTTGCACACACAACTCATAAAAACAGAACTTTGCAATAAAATCGATCCTCCTGAAGCTAATATGCTAGCAACAATGAACAAACATTTCAATTACATTCATGCTGAAATTCTTCAAGTTTATTAGACGATTCCTCACTAGGACACAGAGATACAAAATTGACCACATTCCCACCACAAACACCTACAAACCTGGGAGACCAGACCTTCAACAAACCTTCAACTTGGCTTCTAACAAGATTTTTAGGCCTTCTCTTTTAAATATGAATACACAATCAAGAGTGACCAACTGCTTGAGGACAACTTCTAACAAGACAGACACAGGATCATAAAGAAGATAAACAATGCAGGAAGTGAAAAAAAAGTCACAGACTTGAAAGAGCAATTGCTACAAAAATGAACATTCATACAAAAAGATAACTCTTAGAAATAAGATTTTAATAAAATTCACTGGATGATAAAAGAAATTTCCTAGAATATAAAACATCAGTAATAAAAACAGTGCATAAATTATAAAATAATCAGATGACCAATCCAGGGGGCCCAACACTCAACTATTAAGGATTCCAGATAAAGAAAAAGAAAAGGAGAGGAATAAAGAATGACTTTCTAGACTGAAAAGAGCCCACCTCATGCCCAGCACAATGAGTAAAACAAGAAATCACACAAACATTCAGTAAAATTCCCAAACACCAGCAATACATCAATAACAAATGACCATGAAAGCTTCCCAAGGGAAGGAAACTCAGATCTGCTGCTGAGGAAGGGCAGGGGAACTGACCCCACCACCCACGTGGAACTGCGACCAGTACCAAGTGTTTAGCTGTGGCTGCACATCAGAATCACCTGGGATGTTTCAAACAGTAATGTTTAATTGAATCAGAATACCCAGGGGTGGGCCCAGCCATTAATTCTCAGCATTGCCCATATATTCTAATCATCCTGCAGTCGAGCTTGAGAATCAGTGAGTTCCACAGAAGCAACAGGGTGATATTTTCCAAATTCTGACAAAAAGTAATTCCCAACTTGGAATGTATAAACACAGCTATATTATCAATCAAGTGGTAGAGCAGAAGATTTTATCAGATCTGAAAGCTCTCAAAAATGTATTTCCTTTGCACCATTTCTCAAAAAAAGACTGCATCTGCCAAAATGAGAAAGTAAACTGAGAGAGAAGGAAGCAAAAGATTAAAAAAAAAACAGGTTATTTAATTCGGAAGAGAAACATGAAAGAAATTCCCAAGATCATGATAAAAGCAAATTCAAACATAACTGCTACTTAGTGGGTCTAAAGTACAATTGATCCTGATTAGAGCAGGAAGGCAGGAGACTAACAAGAAGCATGGGTGGGTGGTAATAGATAAAAATCACTAGATTATCACAGTATGTTTGACAATATTACAATACTGAGGAGATTTTACAGAGCATTATCAATAAGCTTGAGATGAATTAGTAAGAAGTAGGCAAAAAACTAAAGCACACAAAACCTTGAAATTTACAAATGTCAGGAAAATCAAAAGGCTGTATGTAAAAGAAACTACCAAAATATATGCCATGTGGCTCAGCTATAAACAGTACTCAAAATCGTGTAAACAATAAATTCTGATTTAACAAAATACTGCAATATAAGAACACTGAAAGGATGAGCATGGGCGTGAGTAAGAGTGTAAAAGAGTTAACTCTCATCTTCCCAAGTAAACAATAAATATATATTCTCTAAAACTAGAAACAGTAACACAAGTATGTTACACTGAAATGCAAAGATAAAGTAAGAGATGAAACAGCAAAAAGAACAGAAGGTGACTGGATCCAGGAATGACAACTATGCGTGGGAGAAATGGTACACAGGACTGATGTGTCTGTGACTAACACCTGAAAAACTAACTGACATTAAGCTATGTTCACATATAGTTTTTGAAGCTGTTCATATATTACTTTGATTAAAATTAAAAGGCCCAGGTCCAACCCTATGCAGATCACCTATATTCTCCTACACAGGTGAGTCAGAAAACATGTCCATAAAGCATTCTTCCTTGTCCTATAAGTCCCATAAGAAGCAAATCAAGGATATGAGGAAAAAAATTCTTTATTTCAAAATCTGGGCACATTTTAAAGCTTTAAGTGCTGTCACTCAAAAGTTATCTTAGATTAAGTATTTAAGACATTTTCTGATAAAATATTGCACACCAATAAATAAAATTCCAGGAAAAATTTTACTCTGGCATTCAAATTGGCATTCTGAGGAATAAATTCTTTATTAACAGATGTTATTTTTGTTTTGGGATCCAAAATTATCAATTGCAATGATTAATAATTAACATGTAGAAAGACCATAATGAAAAAATTTTATAAACACTAACTTCAGAAACTGAAAGAAATGTCTAGGAATTGTTTCCTTTTAATAAACATTCTCAATATGATTCCTTAATATGTTTTGATATTTTGCTCCTAATTATCTCATTAATTTTAGTCATCCAATTTTAGTGACTTTTTTAAACCCCCAATACAGCATTTTTTATACTACATTTAAATTTTCCTCTTTCTTGTCTTTAATCCTCTATAACCTGTCCACTCTGCAGGACTTGAGGCAGGGAGGGTCCCTCCCGTCATCAGTACATGCCTATCTCAGAGTTCATCTCCAAGTAAATGAACAGAGACATAATTTGACTTAAGTATGTATACCTAATTTAGAATCTTGCTCATTAAGATATTACTTAAGTATGAATCAAATTAGTATTTCATACATATGGGAGGAAGGTGAACAGAAAAGTACCTTTCAATGAGTGTCCCATTTTGAATCATCCAAACATCACAATACGTTCGAGACACCAGCATAACAGCAATAAGTATCAAGTAACCTGTCTAAAATAAACCAGGTATAGTAAATTAAATAAATGCATTTTAGAAAGTTAAAAAAAAAACACATTACCTTGGCAAACACTTATTTCTAAATTTAAGGCTTTATTCTAGCTTTAACACAGTTGGCTGACATTTTACCTATAGGAAATTTTAAAATATACTTTAAAAATTTTTAAATATAACTGGAAAAGGCCTTATAGATAATTTATTCTAACTTTCTTATCCAGAATTCAAAAGTGAATTCCATGAAGGTCAAATGACTTGCCTTCATACAATCGGTCAATGACAGAAACTAGCAGTATAACTTGGATTACCTGAATCACCATGTATTGCGATTGTCTTATATTTTTAACATATGACTAACAAAGAAAAATGACAATCAAACTGTCAATATGCAATTTAACAACAAATATTGAAGCCTAAAATTTTACCTAAGTAGAATAAATTTGGTTCAGTTCATCAGGAAAATCTCTAAGAGTGCCCCTGCACTCACAGGGCTTTCGTTTTGGTTATTAAAGCAAAATTTGCACTAAAAATTTAAGAAAACAGACCAATGTAGGTATATTTGCGTTACTTCACGTGCTAAGTAACAAGATGGGAGGTCTGGGGTGGCAAAGAGGGTTATGACATTAGAAATGTACTAACTAGACAAGGTAAAACAAAGGAAAGAATGAGGATTATGAGCAAAAAAGATGAATAATTCAATGGAAAATAAGAAATAGATTAAAACCATATGAATTATGAGCATAGCATATCCAGCAGAGTACAGACCAAATATCAAACTACTAAAAGCTTTTGGGTAGAACGAAACGTTCAAAAGTGTTGTTTAGGGAACATTACTGAAGTGATGTTGTGCAAGATGGATTACCAAGGGGAAAGAGATGAGGTGCTGGGTAGCTGGCTAGGAATCAATCATCTCCCTGTGCAAAATGAGAATCTACCCTCCAGTCTCCAACACACATTCAAAGCTGACCTTAGACTTTCTAAATTGGAAGATTACAACAGTAACATAGAAGCTAAAGTCAGGGAAGAGGGTGTGTGACAGGAAGGGCATTTGGATAATGTGTTTAATTTCAAAGTTACAGAATTGAGGGACAACTGTATCTAATACTTATAATACTATTTTATAAAAAGGTGAATGTTTTATTTACACAGCACAAAGTCATTATAACCTTCCTGTCTACAAAAGAATAAAGAATGTGATCAAACAAAAACAACAAAATTAAAAGGTAAAGGTAGTGAAAATACAACCCTTTAAGTGGAAGACAAGGCAGGGAGTCATAAACATGGAGTAAAGGAAGCCGTGAGAGGGAAGACAGTGTCAAAGAAAATCTGTGACTGTGTGCGACAGCTGCTACCCCCGTGCTTCCTGCCAAGAAACATGTCACCTTTCTACCCTGTCCTAGCATCTCAAAGGCAGGCATTCAACTGACAACAGAACGATCTGTTAATTTTAATGAATGCTGTCTGTATGTCACTTTAACAGTAGTACTAACTTTTAATTCAGACCTTACATACAGTCTCAATCCTGAATTAATCATTTGAGGTATAAAGGTAACATTAGACAAAAATAGTTTATTTTTTCCTTCATTTTATGTTCTTGGCTTAATTTATCATTAAAAAAGGTATCAAGTTTACTTGTCTCACTTTAGCAAAATCTGGCAAACTTTTATTACTAACAGTCCTGAATGCCTTTATACGAAAAATGTTGTTAGAATCACCACTATTCCCATTAGTAATAGGTTCGTAAGACTAGGACGGAAATGAAAGATTTGCACTGATCTGGGCTCACCCTCGCCTTATGATATATATGAACTTCCATACATTCATTCATATGCGGTAATTTCATGTCTCTATTTCATAAGTCAGTTCATCTATCTCTACCTCCAATCTTTTTGTGATTTCTACAGGCATTTATTCAATTTCTTGAACTGGGGTTAAAATTGGATTTTTATATTGCTCAAAAATGGTTTATAATTACTCTGTGGTATGGCTTCACCTAAACAAAACTGGGAGGCTGTCCAAGTTAGTCTCTTCTACCTCCTCACTAACTCCCAGGAATCTATCCAATGTCTCACTTGGTCATTTTTACGATCAGCAAATCCCTGCTAGGCATTTAAATAAGCATTATTCACCCTGGCTGGTATAGCTCAGTGGACTGAGCATGGGCCTGTGAAGCAAAGGGTCGCCGGTTCGATTCCCAATCAGGGCACATGCCTGGGTTGCAGGCCAGGTCCCCAGTAGGAGACATATGAGAGGCAACCACACGTTGATGCTTCTCTCCCTCTTTCCCTTGTTTCCCCTCTCTCTGAAAATAAATAAATAAAATATTTTTAAAAAATAAGTATTATGCTGTTAACTGATAAGGAGAATAATATAAAATCTTTCCAAAAAAGCTTGTATTTTAAATAAGGATTCTCCAAATCCAGGTAGGTTTTAGAATGAAAAAATAACTAATTGTGCCTAAAGAGTCACGGGAAACCACAAGAAGACAATGAGCATCAAGGTTTTTTTTTAAACATATCTGTTTCTGTTGGGGGTGGGGGGTCAGGCTGTCATAAACATGATGTCGTAACGGCACACCCTCTACTGGAAAACAGCAAAGGACCTTCTAAGCAGATGGTACTGAAAAGAAGGTCAAAGTCAGGATGTGATTTACCCTATAAGAAAAAAGAAGCAAAATATATTTATTAGGGTTTTAGAAAGAAGACTAGTTAGAAAAGGAGAAGAAGCAAAAAGATCGATTAAGAGATTACAATAATCCAGTAGAAATGAAAAGAGACTAATTTAAGAGAAACTCAAGGATACTTGGAAAAAACATTTAAAATACAGTGTGGGGCAATAGTAGGTTTACAGTTGTGAGTACATGAAACAGTTTATTCTTGTATTTTTGTTTATTAATTATCATTGTTATTTTCCATACAAACCATTGTAAACCTACTTTGGCCCCACCCTATATGAGGGGGAGAGAAAAATTTTAAAGTTGCAGTATGATCTCATTTTTATTTGTGCTCACACACAAGACTAAACACCAAAATAATGACATGAGTGCTCTCTGAGTGGGAGGCTAACAGGCACCAAGGAGAAAAAGTATCTCTCTACGATTTTTCTTCAAGGAACACATATTATCCTAACCGGAAATAAACAGCTGTTACTATGTTTCAGAGTTTCTTAAGGGTGGAATTACCAAACAAGATCTCAAGTGAGAGGAAAGGAAAGGAAAGGCAGTCCAGTGTGCTAGAGGGGCGTTGACCGGGAACTGTAGCACTTGGAGGCGACTTATCTTTTCTAGCTATTAATAGAATATAAGGCAAATGCTTTTTTAAATTTGAACAACTGGAAACATATTATGTTTGAAGAAAATAAATTTGGCAGAAAAGATTAGAAGGGGAGATTCTTTGAAGTGAGACTAATTAAAAAACACCATGACATGCAGGCAAGAATATTTAGAAGAAAAAGTTATCAGATCCCAGTGACTGAAAGGATAGGTGACTGACAGGAAGAAGAAAGAGTCAAAGGTGATATTTTTAGTTGTATAGAAGGAGAATATTGAGGTGATCAGATTTTTAATAATTAAAAACACATTAAATACAGGTAAGAGGGCAAAGAAAGAGATATAATAAAACTTTATTCTAACAATCAGCTCACTTCGTGAAAATACTTGAAAATTTTAAATATCATTTTGGTATCTTTAAAACATATTCGGTTAAATATGAAGTAGCCCCTAAACATAATCCATATCAATGTGACTTGTTAACATTTTAATAAAATAAAAAGATTTTCCTTTGTAAATTTACGGTTGTTTTCATTATATTATAATAAAGCAACACCACTTACCATAGCTGTACCAAAGTACTCTAGTATGTCACATAAAATAATAAAATAATATTACATTAAAAAACTATTTAAAAATTGGCACTGAATAACAAGGGTACTTACTTGCATAGCAGACAATTTAAGACAAAAATTTAGTAATCTTCATTACCTACAGTTGAAAATATTTGACCTGTAGCTTTGCTTTATAATTTTTGTTTTTATTATATGTAACCTTTAAAGTTTAACATTTAACATTATAATTTTATAAGACTTACCTCTTTACAAAATGTTCTAGGGACCATGATTTTAAGAATCCGTGTGAGCCTTGATAAAAACACCTTGTCCACCATAACTCGTTCTTTTTTTCCCTCTTTCTACATTAAAAAAAGAAAGTTTTTAACAAAAATTTTACATGTTCTACAACAAATCTAGAACAAATAAGACTAAAGAACCACATATCATCCAAGTCAACACAAACAATTATCAAGATAATACCACATTTAGAGAACAAAGACTTCTACTGCTCTTCATTCTCAAACATGTTTTCAACAAAACAGGTGTTAACAGAACAGTAAGTTCTTTTTTTTTTGTTTGTTAAATCTTGAACACAAATTACCCTAATATTAATTACAGGAAACTTTCCAATTCCTAAATTTATCATTAGGATTTCCAATATGCAATCTGCCAATTCATCCTCTCTTCTTGATAAATTCAAAGACAAGTTTTTATAGCATCAATCCACTTTGATGCTATAAAATTAACATGTAAATGATAGAAAAAGCAAACAAACCATTAGATAAAGACCACTTAAGAAGGCTGAAGCAATAATGCAACCAGAAGAAAATGTAGCTAATATTCAGGAGGTAACAACATCAAAGGGCACTGACAAGTTCCTATTAATGTGCCAATCACTTAGACAGGTGAGAAGAACTAGGACTGAAAAAGACAGCTGTTTGAAACAGCCAATAAAATAAAAAGGCCATATGGTGTTGATAACGAGTGTAAGCATTCCTTTACATCATTGGGGAAAATGTAAGCCAATGGATGCAACTATTATCCTTCATCTATCAAATGTAAAATGTACACTGACTATAAAATGTAAAATGACTCATCATGTTTACTTTTAGGGACTTGTTCTACAGTTACTCTTACATATATGCTTAAACACATAAGTGAAAAAAATAACCTGCACAACATTTATACCATAAAATTAAAATCTTACATGTACATCAACAGAAGATATTACAAAATTATGGTAATTTATGTAAAAATCTACATAACTGTATAAAGGAAGCAGCATATATTCAAACAACAGAATACTATAGGGCAGGTAAATTAATTTATAGCTATCAACATAGATCTGAAAAACATGCTGGAAAAAAGCAGAATGATACATACAATGACTCAATTTATATAATTTTTCAAAATGCAAAATAATTCTACTTGTTTGTGGAGATACACATACCTGTACTCAAAAGTAAAAATACACATGGGAATACTAAACCCTAAACCTAGCACAGTGTTTACCTTTCTATGTTTTGAATTTTATTTGTGTGTATATTTACAACAAAATTAAATGAAAAAGTATTTTAATATCAAGCCAAGTATCTCTTTATACTATTTTCTAACTGTATTAAATCTTTTTCTCCTTCTTAAATCTCATGTCTTATGAAAACTGTCTCATCCCACCCCACCCTACAACAGATTGTAACAAATTTCCATTGGAAAAAAAATTCTGCTTTCCTAAGAAACATATTCACTGAAAAAAACCAGAAAATTCTGATTAGCAAAAATAAGGAGCCTACACCTACCATTTAGAGATATCAACTGTGATAACTGGCATATACCCAACCAGATTTCGTGTTAGCACATACATATAATTGTGCATGTGTGTGTATTTCCCTAATAAATTTTACAGAAGTGGTATAATTGTACATATTGCCTTATAGCCTTTTTTTTGGCCAACCACTTAATCTAACCTAAATTTATCTTGCTCATATATATGATCAGCAAGTAAGTATATGCTAAAAAACATAGTACAAAAAAATTTAAAAACAAGTGAATGAACTTAGCTGTACTAATGTTTCACTAAAACATCAGTTTCACTGATGTCCTAAACTTATAGATATAATATGCAAGCAGGAAATGTAAGTGTAAGGTTTGATATTCGAGGGGGGGGTAAATTTTTAAAAACCCAGAATTTATTTATAAAATATTGTGCATTTATTCTTGCACGTTTTAACTTCCGTCACCTTCAAAGTACTCGGCATAGGTACAGTGTATCAAATAGGTGTATTTGACACAATATACCTATTGAGACATTTTTCCACTGCTAAAAACAGTTTTTGAACTTGTTTTTTTAATGCCTTTTAGTGCTTCTGCCATTGTTTTGTTTCACCTCTTCCACATCAAAGTTTCCCTTTGAGAACTTTTTTCATCCAGAGACACATAAAAAAGTCACTCAGGGTATGATCAGGTAAATAAATCCTTTTATCAGGAAAGGATAGAACTGCTGAACATGCAGCTTGTTTTTGGTCAAAAACTGCTAACCCCCCAGTATGGTGTGGGCTTGTGAATCACCCATCATGAAATGGACAAACATGCTGAGTCTTCAAAAAAATTCACTAAGCCAAATACAGCCTCTCACAACAACACTACCTGGTACACTGATGCAGATGGATTCCTAGAACACTCACCTACCTAGAGGGGGAAGGAAGCCTGTACTACAGGGGGCCCACCCTCCAAAAGGTAATTCTAGTTTGGGGGCCCCCCCTTGTAAATCAATGAAGGTTTGATCACTTACATATAATTTAGATATGAGAAATTATGAAAAAAAGAAGGAAAGAAATTATGAAGATGGAGCTACGCCAGACAACTGGAGATAAACACATCTGGTCCCATTTTTCAAAGCCTGGGGAAAAGATTATGGAAACTAAAGAACAGCAATTTTGATGTCCATCTCTAGAATATTCAAAAACCGGATATTAATATGAAAGATTTGGGATACTTAAGAAACACTAACCACTATAAGCCAGCATGAGTTTACTGTAAGTTATGTCAAGCTCTTCTACTATTCTTCCTTTTGAGAGTATGGTACTAGTGTATTAGCTGGCATGTACAATGTAAACTCCACTTACTTTTATAACTGCTATACACCCAGAGTCAAAAACAAGACCAGGCATGTATGAAGAGCTCAATCAATATTTGTTGAAAGATTAATAACAATTAAAAATTAATCAAGGAATTTGATCTTTCTTACATAATTAATTAGTGGGCCTTAATGGAGAAATAAGGACTAGATTTTGCTACAACTGGATATAGTCACAGCTGGATAAAAGATAACCATAAAAAAAAGATTAAGAGCTATCAGTTGGACTTTGTCTGGTCAACTACATTCTATACTAAATATAATGTCCAGAGAAACTAATGAGTATGGGTCCAGAGGAGTAAATACAAAATTGAAAAAGGATCAGAAATTGTCACCTGAGAAACAGTTGAAAAAATAAGGGTTGTTTAGCATGGGGAAAAAAACCGATTAAGAAGATACAACTATCTTCAAACAGTATGAGAGTCTAACAGAGAAAACAGAGCAGACTTGTCCTGTGTTGCAACAAAAGACAAAATTATCAATCACTAGGTGCCCACAGAGGGAAAATAAACCTCATCATGGGCTAGAACTAATATAGTTAGTTACCTGCCTCCTGGGTACTCTCCAACAAATGAACAGATTCAAGTAAATATTAAAAGTCACCTACCAAGGATTCCCATTTCAGAAAGAAGTCCTATAGTATCTAGCAGATTGCAGATGACATTCAAGCCCCCCAAATTCTAAAATTCTATGATTATTATCCTAACTCAAAATTATATAACAAAACAAATAAATGCATAAGATTCCAAAGGGTTAATGATTTGAAATTTTACCTCATTGATCTGCAATGGTGGTTTTCCATTTTTCTTACTGCAAAGAAAAAAGAAAGCACTTTATTTGCAAACTTTCCCCATCATAAAAATTGTTTTAAGATATCAAAAGAATATACAATATTCTCCAAATATTTCTTCTTTCACATATCATACATACGATATATTAAGTATAATAGTACAGTTACCTCTTATTAAATAAATATAATTTACTGAAGGTGCTCAATAAATGTTAAATACTACCAGGCATTATGTTGGTAATTTTTCACACTTATTTTTCAAATTCTTCCATAAAGAGGTGGGGTCTATTCCCCCATCCTTGAATCAAGATTTGACCAAGATGTGACCTGCTTTGCCCATGGGACATAGCCAACTGATGCAAGCAAGGCCTTGAAAATATCTGCATTGGACCCTCTCTCTTGATGCTGGGAATCCTTTCCCAGCGATGTGAGTAATCCAGGTTAGTTGCCGATAGAATGAGAGACCATATGCCATTCCTGCGTAACAAATGAAAAAACTGGCTTGGAAAAGAGGAAGTAGTATGTCCAAGATTCATGCTACTCAAAGTAGTTAGCCTGGCACCAGCCCAGGCCTGACTACTGATCCAGGCCACCACCCTAAACAATATAATGACCAGGCTTAGGCTTTGTTTATAACACACTACCATAACATCTTATGTTATGATCACATTTCAAATCTTTGGTTTAATGTACATAACAAATCTTCTGTTTAATGTTCAAAACAAATCTTTTGTTTAATTTCCTCCCACTACTTCCGCCAAGATGGAGGCATAGGTGGAGACGCCATGCTTCCTCACACAACCAAGTTTAGAGACAACTAAATAATAGTAACAGAAAACACAGCCAGAACACAGAAAATTGAACTTTTCAGAAGTCTGATAAATTCTTCATCCTGACCGGTAAGAGGGGCGAAACCAGCAGCTGGCGGAGCGGGGTTGCACAGGAAAACTTGGTCAGACGGACTCAGGCACGCGGAATCCAGGCGCAGGGTTGGACCTGGTGGGCAACTCAGCAAGCAATTGCAGGGAAACAGTGAGGAAGCAGGGCTGCAGGTTGACTGTGGTCACGCGTTCGCACATTCGTGTGTGGACAGACGAGCAAGGGAGTGGGCGATTGGACGAGAGCCAGCAGCCCCAGCGGCAAGCCACGGCGGAGGGCACCGCCATTTCCCCACTCTAACCCCACCTCCACATACAGTGTCACAACCCAGCAACCTGAGAGTCCAAGGCTCCGCTCCTCATACTTAACGAGCACAAACAGACCAAAAATGGCTCAAGAAGATCTCAAAGCCCCAGAGCCTATAAATCTAAGCGATGAAGAAATAGCAAAACTCTCAGACCCACAGTTTAAAACACTGGTGATCAGGATCCTCACAGAACTGGTTGATTATAGCCACAAATTAGACAAACATATGAAGGCAAAACTAATTGAAATGAATGGAATTGCACAGGAAACCAATAGCGATGAAAAGGAAACTGGGACTCAAATCAATGGAGTGGACCAGAAGAAAGCATATAATGGCCAAACAGAAAAGAGTCAAGAAGCAAGAATTCAAAAAAATGAAGAGAGTCTTAGGAACCTCCAGGACATCTTTAAACACTCCAACATCCGAATAATAGGGGTACCAGAAGGGGGAAAGGAACAGCCACCAGTGGAAAACTTATTTGAACAAATAATAAAGGAGAATTTCCCCAATCTGGCAAAGGAAATAGACTTCCAGGAAATCCAAGAAGCTCAGAGGGTCCCAAAGAAGTTGGACCCAAGAAGAAACACACCAAAGCACATCATCATTACATTAGCCAAGATTAAAATGAAGGAGAGAATCCTAGAAGCAGCAAGAGCTAAGGGGACAGTCACCTACAAAGGAGTCCCCATCAGACTGTCAGCGGATTTCTCAAAAGAGATCTTACAGGCAAGAAGGGACTGGAAAGAGGTATTCCAAGTCATGAAATCCAAAGACCTACAACCAAGATTGCTCTATCCAGCAAAACTTTCATTTAGAATGGAAGGACAGATAAAGTGCTTCTCAGAGAAGATCAAATTCAAGGAGTTCATCATCACCAAGCCCTTATTATATGAAATGTTAAAGGGACTTACCTAAGAAAAAGAAGTTAAAGAAACATGAACAGTGAAAGGACAACAAACTCACAGTTATTAACAACCACACCTAAAACAAAAGCAAACTAAGAGGACAGCTAGATCAGGAGCAGAAACATAGAAATGAAGATCTCATGGAGGGTTAGCAACAGGGGAGTGGGAGGAGGAGAAGCGGGGAGAAGGTACAGAAAATAAGTAGCATAGACAGTAGATAGAAAATAGATGGGGGGGCAAGAATAGTATGGGAAATATAGAATCTAAAGAACTTGAGACACATGGTCATAAACTAAAGGGGGGGTTAATGGTGGGGACGGGGGATAGGGTGGAGGGGAATGAAGGGGGGAATAGAACAACTGTAACAGCATAATCAATAAAAAAATTAATTAAAAAAAAATTTCCTCCCACTAAATCAGTTCCTGAGATTAAGAGCTATTGCAGGTTGGCTTCTCCTAAGTATAAAGTAGTATGTGGAGCACTATATGTTTACTGGGCATCAACACCTGTGAAAGGAAGGTAATAAAAGCAAGTGTGGGCAGAATTTAAACTGTGATGCAGGCCCAACAAAATTTCACCCAGCCAGATGGGAAGCTGTCACACACCAAGTACTGTCTATCAGAGTGCTCTGTGATTGGCCAAAATGGTCAGGTCTTTATTGTGTCTTCCTTGCTCAGTATATAAATGCATGCTGCTCCAGGGAGGTCATGACCTTAGGAAGGTAGCTCTGCAGCTAAGGCAGATCCTAAAGTGTGGGCAGAAGGGGTTACCTGGTCTGCACTCCTCACGGCTGGGACTAGACCTTCTTTGAAGGGGAGTCGGGGTAGCATATCTCCGTGCCTAATAGAGGGGTCATATATTACTCGGCTCTCTTTGTTCAACATCTAGTTGAGCTCCAAGAATCTGTAGAATAAACATTTTCAGTAATAAGATACTAGGTCACTGAACAAGGCCAGAAAGCCAAATTTAACTACAATAAGAGTAGATGCTCTTACTTTAAAAAGTGCTTAGGTTTATTATTGTTTCCAATCTTATTTGTATTACAGGATTATCTGTTTTTAAATTTTTATGAGATTGCAAAACTGTTTCAGAAAATGCCTTTCATATATGTATATGCTCACACATGCCCAGTTAATTATAAACCCCCTTTTATAAGGCTTTCTAAAACCCTCTTTTTAAGGAATTCTTTAAATGTTTTCCACAGATGGTCTCAATTTTGAAAATACTTGTTATACAAATATACAGAAATTGCCTAGGGTGAATTAGAGCAGTATACTAGAATCCCATTGAATGGGTTATATATTTTTTTTCACTTGAAATGTCATGCTAAAGACTAGAGAGAAGTTAATTTAAATGCAGAAACATGATCTACTGCCAGGCAGATTCAAGTCTAACAAAAATTCAATTACCTTCCTTGATTTTTATACTATAAAATTAAAAAGACTCTACAAAACAAACACATCTTCTACATTTATGTCTTGCTACCAAAAAGGCTACCAAAAAGATCAATTTTTTAGCTAAATAGATTAAAATAAAGGTATTCAACATATTTGAAATGTATTATTGATATGCATATTAATGACAAGGTTGCAATATCTGTAACAATCACTAAGTATCAGTTGCCTAGCTATATTTCGTGGTATAACTGAAACAATTTTAAAATCTAATTTTGTGGCTATGTAAAACATGACCATTTATATAATCAGTCTATACCAAATGCAATGTATGTTCAGTCAGGAGCTGCTAATCTATTTTCTTCTTGTTCAGTAAATCACCAGATTTTCCAAAATATAATGGCAGTCCCTGAATTGATATTTTCACTGCCAAACGGTCCTGCCTGAGAAAAGGCAAGGAAAAGAGAATCACAGTACCAAGTCAAGATATGGAAAACCTGGTTGCTAAAGTATGAAAGAAAGGTACATAGAAAAGATATAATCACCTAGCTGGTGTAGCTCAGTGGATTGAAAATGGGCCTGCGAACCAAAGGATCGTGGTTTGATTCCCAGTCAGGCACATGCCTGGGTTGCAGGCCAGTTCCCAGCAGGAGACGCATGAGGGGTAACCATACATTGATATTTCTCTCCCTCTCTCCTTCCCTTCCCTTCTAAAGATACATAAATAAAAATCTAATAAATAAATAAATAAAGTTATTTAAAAAAAAAGATATACATCGAATACATGTGCTCTTGAAAAGATAGGTAAATTATAAATGTGATGTGGTCAAGAAGCATTCGGATGTTTACTAATTGCTTACTATATGCTAGGCACTATTCTAGATCAGCATCTTCTAAACCCCGTGATCTCAAGATTCCAAAAAGCTTTTATTTATTTGTATTATATCTATGGATATTCAACCTCAGTATTTTTAAAAGTATTTATTTGCTCATTTAAAGAAAACAGACAACTGATACATTAAATAATTTTTATAAAAATAGCTATATTTTTTCTAAGCAGAACAACTAGATAAGAAAAGTAGCATTGTTTTATATGCTACATTGGCAAATCTCATTAATGTCTGGCTTAAGAGAAGATGAATGGATTCTCATATCTGATTCTGCATTCCTTCTAGCTATTGAAATACAAGTAGGTATTGTAAACAGGAGTATTTTAATAATTGCAGATATTTTTCTGTGACACTAAAATGTTTCAATGCAGTCTGAAACCGTATCAATGAACTTTTGTACCCTGATACAGTTACATCCATTGGTCTATGTTACACTTTCAATGGATCTTGTACCCATATAAAATTTGGTAACATCATGCATTGGTCGGTTGGAAATATGGTTCAGTGAGTTATGTAGTACACCTTCCTAATGTAATACATTTTATTATACAATATTTCATAAAATTATATTTGTTAATAATGCCACCAATCTCACCAGAAAAGTCTTAAGCACTGGGAAGCTATCAAGCTCACAGCAGTAGAGAG